ATGCATATTCATTGTTGTGGTATCAAAAAATCCTCTGTGTCTGCCTCTGAGTCCTCTCAGCTTTAAACCTTAAACAGAGTGCCTGGGAGTGTTTGTTACAAGGTCTGCAATTAATGATTGTATCCTTTTAATCAATTAAAAAATCTATAAAATGTCAAATGCCTGTTAAATCTTCAGAGTGATCCATTTAGGTTTTTAATTTTTTCAAGCAAGTCCAAAAATCCAAAGACTTTCAGTTTGCTGCCATTTACGACAAAGAAAGTGTGTTTGTTTGTACTACTGTGTATTTTGTTTATTAAACACATAATTTCTGACTTGCTTTGCCTTGCATTTACAGCATATGATTAGTAATGTTTTTAGATCAACTACATTGAAAAATGTATCATTTATCTTTCATGATCTTCATAGAAAAAACAAATAGCCAGACTGTTTGCTGCTTAGTGCATGTAAACTTCCATAGATCAATATTCATAAGGTGCATGAGGGGTGGACATGGACATGAGTCTTTTTTCCCCTCATGCACATTCACCAGTTTGTTCATGTCACATAATTTTGTGAAATCCCTCTGATTCTCTTCGGTACCGCCTCCAGTTAATGAATAAAGATCAGTGGGCGTGTCTCCCTCAGAGGATATGACAGCAGATCTGCCTTGGTGCCATACAGGATCATAGACCTTCCCACTGTAAGTAACTGTGTTTTTGTTTGTTGTTGAAACATACTATATTAAATATATGTTCACTTGTTTTCTTATTGAAAGTCAGATGATACCACTGGATGTAAAGCATGAGGCTAGAGCCGATTAGCTTAGCATTAAGACTGGAAGAAGAGGGGAAACGTTGAATTTCTACATAAACACCACTAAAACAGTAAGGTCACTGGTATTTGTTGAAGGTTGTGTAAGCATTGTGTCACAGCAACAATTTAGAATGAATGAACATTATGATAAAAAAATAAAAACTTTAAAATCTGATATTGAGATTCAAATACCAGTATTTCAAGTCAGACAATTTTATTTTATTCGACTCTTGACCTCACTGGAGCATGATTATTTAACCTTTTATTTAACCAAGTCTTATGACATGCTTTATCTGTTTTGGATGGGAGACATGGCCAAAATGACATCGAAGAATAGAATTACACAGGTTCACATAAAAACTTTACAATCACAAAAGAGAACGATTATTGAAAACAATTTTTTTCATTAAACACTTTCTGGATGTAGCATTTGAATGCCTGATATGAGGACAGTGTTTCTCAGTGATAGTCAAACCAGATTTTTTCAGGTTGTTTTTCTAAATTCAAAAGAGTTTTGACGATTATCTAGATCATCTGGTCTGGTAACTGTTTGAGGGAGTTTATTATGAATGACTTCATAAAATAAAAAGTACTGTAAACACAAACACACAGTAAGGAGTTTGTGACCAGCATTCAGAATAAAACGGAGATGAGTGATAAACAAGATCAGGCCTAAGAAGTAGTGCGTTAGATGTATGCATGTAGAGGATGTCCCTCTAATCCAAAACAGAAATAAAAACCTAATTTATAGCAGTATAAATAACTGTATTATCTGCATACAAATGAACTTCACTGGCTTGATGTTCCTCCTTATATTGTTTATAAAGTGAACATTCATGAATTTGTGTGTTGTCTCTAGTTCACACTGAAAAATGAACCCTGAAAGCAGCAAGACGATGATTGTAGCAGTGCTTGGCCGGCCTTTCAGCCTTGGGATGCTGTATGACTGCCGCAGAGACTTACTCATTCACATGAAGTAATATAAAGCTATTAACTGCATCTGGACAACAACCCAAACTGTCAGTTTTTATAATCAAGTTTTGTTTTAATCTGGCAGGATGTTAGCTTTGTTCTGCCCTTTTCATGATAGGGATCATAACCAAAAACGTGATTTTAACAAAATCTGAATTATGCATTATTCAAAAAATAAAGGTGTAGACTGTGTTTCTTGACATCAGCCTGATATCTGCAGACACCTGGAATCACGCCTCTGGAACAACTAGGTTAAGTGTCTTGCTCAGCGACACATTGGTGGATTTACTTAATTTTGTGAAAATGTTTTCAATCCATTAAACATACACTGTTTCTCAATCTGGGGGGGCATAGTGCCACTACAGATGAATGAATGTTGAGCTGACCTAGCATAGATGTGAGTTATGTGGTGGCTCTGGTGCAAGCAAAGTTATTTAGCTAGATATCTGACTTCTAAAAGGGGGCGTGACAGAAAAGATTTGACAACCACTGCACTTAATGAACTTAGCAACACAACGCTGCTGGTTCCTCACATAACAATTGGATCCCTCTCAACTTCATGTGGAAATAAATACATTCATATCCATTCACATACAACATTTTGCTGTCTGTTGAAAGCATGTGACATACAGGAAAAGTACCTTAGATAATTGTATAGTTCTACTAGTATACCAATTGAGGGTCTGTCTGTCTGTCTGTCTCTCTGATGCAGGCACGACATTGTGGGACAGTGATGCCCTCGCACATCATATTGGAGAAACTGTCAATGGATCACCTTGGAAAAGGCAATGTGAAGTATCCGTATGTTTTTGATGACAAAATAGCATCACGTAGTCACAGGAATCCTTTATGGGGCATAAACCTTCTTTGTGTTTGACAGTGATGTATCTGATGACAAAACTTATCAAGACACATCGAAGGCTACCTGAAAGTGATCAACAAGATTCCCACTGTTGGGATAGAGGGGGGTGGTTCCCTGAAACTGGAGGACAAAGACATCAAAAAGGTTGAGAAATTCTCCTGCAAATTCCATGGAGACTTCTTACTTGATAAAACTCCAACATCCTTTCAGGATGCAGTAGAAGTCGATCAAAGCCTGCCAAGATTGCTGGGAGCAAACGGAGAAAACGCTGTACCAATGAAGGTCTGGTTGTTGACCCTGATACATCTGGATTCTTCTGCTGCAAAACTCGTCTGTCAGATAAGTGCTGTGTTAATAGATGAAGCTCAGGCTGTTCTGAAGGAGCTGAAAATGAGGTGCAATGATGCACTGAGAACCACCACCGCACAGCAGCAGTTCTCCCAGATTGGCACAAAGAGTTCAAGCTGGAGTTTCAGCAAAACTTGGCAAAGATACTCCCATCAATCCGAGGAGGAGGAGAAGAGGAGGCTGTGTTCGCAGAGATCCTGAAGAAGAGACATTCTTCTCCTTTCAACAGCAAAGACCTGAACGAGTGGTTGGACTGTAAAGAGAGAGAAGTCTACACCTTAATGTCTTTAACCAACATGATGAAAAACACCAAGATCGTCCCCTCTCAGAATGTTCTTAGTGAAGAAACCCTCAGTGCAGATCATGCTGTGTGTTTTGTTTTCACCTCCCTGGGAAGTGCTGAACCGTACCTCTCAGCTTTATCTAACTACTTAAAACAAACACCCGAACCAGACGACCCTCAAGATGTAGAGAAGGAACAATTGTTCACCTCAAAAGAAATAACAGATGCAATGAGGAATAAAGCAAAGCTCTTCAGTGACTTTGCAGAGGCCAACAAGGAGAACAAGAACATAAAGTTCCTGACAGTGGGATTAACAAATGAGACACAGAAAGGCTCAAGCATCTACATTTATGAAAATGAAAATCAAAGCGGTAACAGCAAGTGACATAAAGCACAACAGTGTGACACTGAAGATTTCTGCGCCCAGATTTGGAGCAGAGAACATCACCTCCTACTCTGTAGAGTACTGTGTCAGAGGAGAGGATGGATGGCAACAAGAGACAGCATCAAAAGCTGGAGAAGTCACAGTGAGCCATCTGAGTCCTAACACAGAGTATATGTTCAGATGCAGAGCAGTGACCTCAGCAGGTGTTGGGCCGGCCAATGAAGCCACGATAAACATTCCAGGGCCGCCTCTTCCACACTGGTAAGGACTTATAAAGATACTAAATGCATTTATGTAAAAACATCACCGTGAAAATAAGCACAACTGAATGAAAGCACTAGAAAATGACTGCAGCTCAAAGAAAACAGCTAATGTGTGTGTTTTTTTTTTTTTAATGCATCAGCATTAATCTTCTCCATGTGTCTCTGAGTTGGCACGTCTTCAACTCCCTTTGCAGAAATTTATAAGGGATTTGTTGGCTGTGGCTACCTATCTGGGTATTTTTTTATTTTATTTTAAGTTTTCATCATTTCATCATTTCATCATTTCCTAAATGTGAACTTTGGTCACATGATAATCACAACAAAGGTTAGATTTATGCTTTATTGTTATATTTTCAAACAATAGGATTTTTGGATAAGAACTAACTGATATTTTAGTTAAACTTCCCCAAATCCAGCAGAAATTGTGTTGTGGCCAAATTGTGTTGACTGTGTTTATTTATTTATAATTTCAGGAGGCACTTTCCACCACCACCTTCTGTCCCTGGTGACCCATCAGTCAGTGACGGGGCAGACGAAGGGGATGGTCATGCAACTGGACAGCAGTGAAGGAAACACAGCAAATAGGTGGCCTGATATAATAATCACAGTGATAAAGGTTAGCCTCTTACAAGCATCTGAACCTGCAGGGAAATCAAAAGTTTGATCTCAGTGCCTACAGTACAAAAAAGGTCCTGTTGCAAATAAAGCCGTAGCAAAGAAAATTGATCCAGTCTGCTATTATATATATATATATGAATTAGTAGTAGTGGTAGTCGTGTGGTTTATTAAAGTAAGAAAAAAGTGAAATTTGGACTAATGGACCACACGTATTATTTAGCACAGATGACAGAGCGTGTCGGCCACCGTAGCTTCTCCTATGCGCTTGAAAAGGGTGAGCGGTGACTGATGGTGCATTCATGTGGGGTCGGAATAAAAAAATTTTTTTTTCTCTCCTTAAATCTTAAAAAAAGAGAAAAATAGAAATAAAGTGTACACAGCACAGTATACAAATATATAAGAAGACACAAATAAAAACTATAATAAAATTATTATATATTACAAAAGATATCAAAAGAAAACCAAATGTTGACAGTTTCACAGCCTTTTTATTGTTGGATTTAGAAATTAAAGTACAAAGTACAAAGTTAGTTTTTTTACTGATGAATTTACAATTGCCATTAGAATTCATATATTTATTATAAAATAATTATTTTGTCCAAGAACCAAGTGAATGCAGTGAGCTGTTTGTTGCAATTTGCTACCCTCACCACTAGATGGCACTAAAACTTACACACTGAATCTTTAATTAGTGTAGATAAACTGTTTGTTTTTACTGTTTTACTTCCATATGCCCACGTGTTGTAGTTTTTCTACCTGTAGTAAAATAGTCTCACTACTACAAGATATGAGGCAAAACATTATGAGACGATATTCTCACAACTTCTAAATCCTAATCATGATCAAACAAAATGGAAACTCAAGAACTGTGTTCTGTGTAACTTATAAAACTTATTAATAAACAAAAATCTGTTTATGCATTAAAATAACGTTTTTTGTAAAAGGTTATTTTGATTCAGTGTTGAACTCATTTATCTAGGATTTGGTTTTGTATTGTTTTTGCCATTTTAACATGTTGAATTACACACACACACACTGGTTCACATCACTTCATCAGGATTTATGTAAAAAAAATAAACACACACTATAAATACAATAAAACACCAACATCAAAATGTAAACATGTAACACTACAAGTGCCGCCAGACAGAATCAGAACATGCAAGTCAGTTTTCACAGTGAATAATGGTTCAAAATGGACTTTGTAATTCTGGGCATTCCCTAGATAGGTAACCTGGAATGTGCCACTTGAGTAAAATTGACTTTTAACAATGTTAAATTATACTTAATACATTTATGAATTTAAAGGTTGGGGACGATCATGGTCACTGTTAAAAGAGGAAATAACCAGAAATGGAGCTATCAGAGACCTCCTGTGCTGACATTTTGTTAACCCGTTCTCAACGTGATTTTGGACATTTGCTGAAGCGAGTGATGCTGTGGTTGGTCTTGGGAATAAAGTCTTCAGGTTGCCCTCCAAAGGTTAGTTGACTATTATCATTAAACGAGAATCCTCAGAGGCCCGTGGTCTGACCAAGTTAGGCCACAAACCTGGTCTGCAGTACTGGTGAAACATTTTCTGTCACTCGTTTAATCGTTTCATCCAGTTGGTTTTTTTTCTTCTGCTTGTTCCAGTTTCTCCCATAACATTTGAATGCACCACACACCTCACCCCCTTCAGATGTGTCATGAATCTTCAAGGTTTGAGCTCCTCAGCTCGTGGGGGTCGACTTTCGGCACCACACCGATCTGCTCATAAAGCTCCGCCTCTTTAGGGTACATCGGAATTTGAATATCCCAATCAGGTTGCTGCAACAGTGGACATGTAAGTTTCATCACACATTTCATCTGATATACTAGAATATTTTAAGAATTACATAAGAGAGAATTAAATAATTGATCTTTACATTGAGTGAAATGTAAACGTATGAATAAAACAAAATTAAATAGCCAAAAATAAACTGACAAGGGCATATATTTATGATTTTGAATCCCACATTCTGATAGATTATTGGCAAAACTGTAAGTATCTGTCTGTATACCAATATGAAAAGCCTTACTTCCACGTTAAAATGTTAAATAATATTCTAGAAACAATAACAATACTGACAGATACAAACTCCAATACTATGACAAAAACAATGTAAAAAAATTAGTTTGAAAAGAAGTATAGACCCAAAAAAATGTTTTTGAAATAAACATAAAATAATTGGGCTAATAATCCAAAGTATGTTGTATGATAAGTGTATTTTTATTCAGGTATCATGATTTTCTGATTATTTACCAGTGGGCGGGGCAGTGGCTCTTTCTGGAAGTACTTTTGACAGGCTTCTGGACGGCAGTGAGCGATGAACCAGAATACACCGAACAGGAGACCCGCCATGATGATCACAGTCGCCGTCGCAGTGGTTGGACTCTTCCATGTGGCGTCTGGACCTGCAGGTGAATTATGAAAGTTTCTGTTTGAACCCAGAGTGTTTCTTCAATTAATAATAATACTTTTACAAACTGGATCATTTGGGATTTTATAGCACTTAAAAGATAAACAGTCAACAGTTATTTTCTGATCAAAACAATTCTGAAATTAAACTCCAGTATGAGATCTTAAAGTGGTGACACTGTGGTGGCAGTTACGTTCTTGGAAGTTTAAACTACAAAAAACAATAAATAGTTTTGATACAATAAATAAATGATCTAAGTAATGTGAGAAAATACCACTTGACATCTAGTTATTTACTGCATGAAAATGATATCAGCTAAATCATTAGAGGAAACCATTCCTCTAATGATTTAGAAACCTCTAATGTCTGTAAGTGTTCTGCCAAAACAATACGTTCACAGTAGACCGAGATACTGGCAGAATGCGGCTGCTTGGCAAGGAACCGGCTACATGAATAACAAAACAGGGAAATGCCAGGTCATAAAGGATGAAAGCAGTATGTAGACCTGTGGCTGTGCAGGGAAACTACACATCTGCATGAAGAGGCCTCACTGAAGCCTCAGTAAAGTAGTAGTTAAATGTCTGGTTAGGGATTAAGGAAAAGGTTTATCATTGAAATGTGTGTGTGTGTATTGACTGAATATGTTTCTTTCTTTTTTCATTTCTCTGTGGAGATAACAGGTATTATCTGTGACACCATAGCTGCAACAGAAAATAAGACTTTAGAGACCCAAGAGAACCAATGATGGTGTTTTTAATGTCCTTTATAAGGGATTAGAGGAAACGTTCTTAAATACTAAAATTCTTTCGAACATCAATTTAATCTTAATCGTAATCCTTAACATTCACTGTATCTTCCAAATGTATGTTACTGTTGACTAAGGCTAAATATTCCTGGGGAAACACCACCAGGGAGTTCAGGCCTAAAGAGGATCAATATCACAAATTTTATCTCCATTTCTTATCTTTTCATTCTATTTTATTATTTTCCTAAGCACAATATTGATTTTTCACATTTTTCATGTATAGCACTTTTTGTATGTTTAAATAAAATCATTGAAATTAAGAAAGCAGATTATTGATTGTTTGTCTCTCATTGTTGTAAGGGACTTGGGGAACAAAAGCTCTGAGAACATTTTTGTAAGGTGCAGACATTCTTGGAAAGAGAGGACATTTTATGCATTGAAAAATAATTTGAAAATTGAGGTTATTGTAGAAAGTAACGACATCTTTTTGAATTTTTTAACACGAGGACATTTAAGAAAAGCATTAATTTGGAGTGAAACAGTTTTTGAAAGTTAGGACATTTTAGGAAAGTAAAAACATTGAAAGTGAGGATGTGTTAAGTTAAGGTCGATTTTGTAAAGTGACACATACTATGTCAAAGGTTGACACAAGTAAAGATGTACAAACATGTGTGTGAATGTATGTGTTTAATGTTTTTATATCCTTGTGGGGACTATAACCTAAATGTACACTATGGGGACTTTTTGAATTTGAAATTGAGGTCCCCACAGGTAAAGACGCTTTTGAGGGTCAAGACTTGGTTTCAGGTTACAATTAGGTCAAGGTTAGGGTTGAGGTTCATGTAGTTGTGATGGTTAGGGTAACGGGCTAGGGAATGCATTTCGTCAATGAGATGTCCCAACAGGGATAGAGGAACAAATGTGTGTGTTCATGTGTGTTTTCCTGTACCTGTGATGGACACACAGTGGGTGTCAGAGCTGCTGCTGTGGAGATGTGTGTCCAGGATGGTCTGAGCTCTGACGCAGTACTCTGCTCCCTCCTGCAGGGCTGCGATATGCAGCATGTTCTCCTCTGCTGGCATCATGTACACATCAGCCTGAAGGACAGAGAGAGAGAGAGAAAACATGCACAGGTGTAACAACTTTATTTAAATGACACAAGACAATGAAATGCATACTGCAAAATATGAGATGAAGGGACAAGAAGGAAGAAGGAAGACGGAAGGGCAGGATATTCAGAGGATGGAAGAAATACAAGATCAAATGTAGAAACAAAAAGAACAAAAGGAAGAAGAGAAAAAACAGGAATAAAAATGTGAAGTAAACTCTCACCTCCTGCTCGTCACCTCTCTCCCACACCGTCACCCTGACGATAGCAGTGAGAGGAAGCTTGTCGAACGACACCTGAAGGGCATCGCCCACCGCCGACACCACCATCTCTGGTGCCCTCAGGACCGCTGCCGGGATAAGACACATTTATTCATTTATTCATTTTCTAGAAACCTTTACTGTTGAGACACACGGCAGCCAGATTACTACATACTCCAAACACACAAACATCCACACAACTTGTGTGACAAGCAAACAACATCTTTATTGATGAGCAACTTCTGGTTTTCTTTTAGCCTTTGGGTTTTTGTCACAAATACAAGGACAGCAACTTTCCCGTTTAATGGAGCGTTAACTCTTTGTTATGTCAAAGTCTGTTTCTCTGTTGATGTGTTTCAGCTTACCTTAACCTGAACCCAACCTTATTATCCCTACACCAAAACAGTTATCTCTCATATGCCTAAGCAGGACCTGACCCACTGTCACCCCAACTGCAGGGAGGGCACTTCAGCTAAAGGGATCACAGGGGAAGCAGCTCGAGCCACTTTAGCCATTAGTGTGCACATGCCTTTCATTAGAACATGTAAAGTACCACTGAAAGACCAAATAATCGCATTTCTCAGCAGTCTTACTTAAACTGAATACAGATATCTTGTCAACTCTGGTCTGGCTGTGACAAACATTAAACTTTCTTCTGCAGGCCTCCTCACAATGTGAAATCTGCAGCTGTGTTTCTGCAGGATTGAAAACCTGCCCCTGTTGGCATCTTACTGTCTCTGCGGTTGAAAGGTCGGCTGAGTGTGGTCCAAGGCGACAGCTGAGACCCGCACTGCCCTCTGACGCGGATGTTGTAGTCGGAGTCGGAGCCCAGGTCAAAGGTCAGGTCACAGTAAGTATGAGGAGTCTGCTGGCACTCAGGAGCATCCACCCAGCTGCCGTTCAGGAACTTCAGCTCAAACTCTCTGATAGACAAAGACTTAACTTAAGACTTAATCTTTTATGTATGTACTTCTATTATTTATCTAGATATTGTTTTTTATCCTTAACATTTTCTTATTCTGTCTTTCCACATGTTTTTAGGTCAGAGCTGTGGAATTGTTTTATTATATTCCTTTCTTGCTGTTCCTCTCCTCTCCTTGAGTGTTCAGGGAGAGGATCTCTGTTCCTCAAAACATAATTATAATATAATAATAATCTTTATTTGTAGAGCACTTTTCAAAAAGAAGTTACAAAGTGCTTTAACAAGTCTAAAGACAATAATACCCAAAAGACAATAATACAAAAACAATACAGGATAAAATCATGACAACATTGAAAAGACTAAAATAGACGAAGATAAATATAAAATAAGTAAAATAGAATAAAATAAAACAGATAAAACAAAGTCAAATAAGATCGGGAAAGGCTCTCCTATAAAAGTATGTTTTAAGAAGGGACTTAAAAGAGTTCACTGACTCAGCCGAACATAGAGGCCTGGACTGTCTAAATGATTATGCATCACTTTGCTCTGGGCCAGACATTAGGTACTGACCTAGGTGACAGGGCCTTTGGTCCAGCCAATATTCTGGCTCTTAAGCTGCTAAATGGCTCAGTGGCTTTTTATAGCTTTCTCCCCAGAACAGGAAAGTTGTGGGCTGTAAAAAACCAAGCTGAAGGATATTGATATTTGAATTGGAAGAGCTGATGGGAGCTGCAGAGTTGGTGATAATTCCCTCAGGTATATATCTATATATGTGAGGTGTTTTTGAAGTTTTACGTCAGGAGGAACCAATGGACTTGTAGCTGAGAGTCACAGACAGGAAGTCAGGACACATATATGGACGCCCTGGGTACCCTTTAGCGTCGTTTTTGGACCTGTAGGTCTACATGGTCAAGTTAGCAAGAATAAATATGCAACTCCCGGTTGAACTTTCAAAGTAAAACAGGTGGTTAATGTTGTGAAATATCACAATTTGGTTAGGTTTAGGCACCAAAGCTAATTGGTTAGTTGTTCGTTATTGGGGTTAAAATAACAACGTTACTTTCGTGACTTAACTTAAGCAACTTACGAAACCTACGGCGCTTAATTAAAAACAATCAATGTTGACTTTTGTTTCACACGGGAAACCAGTCTCCTGGATGTAAGTCCAGTCTTTGGGCCACTCATCCATCCCAACTACCTTCTTACTCTGACTTTTTTGTTATTTAAATTGTACAGCAGCTGTTAGCGTTCTGCCATGGTGCTACAGGGCTTTCCCAGGTGCATCAAACTATGACACTAAGGGGCTTCCAGTGCCTAACTGCATATTGTAGAGAAATAAAATAAATAAAATAAAAAATCTGCATTGAATTTGTAGAATTATTATCCATATCCATTTTGACTGGTGATATGGTTGAGACAATGCTACAGGTATACATGACGCTGCTTGAGGAGATCATGCTCCAGTTTGCTTTAATGTTTTAGCATCATTTACACTATGACACTTCAAACTGCATTTCTATAAAACTCCTATTGCCCTCTGAGCGATTGTCTAGATTTTTGTGTCAGAAGTTTCAATGTTTTCATGAGTTGTAGGAAACGTGTTATAAACAGTATAAAGGAGCCCTACAGCAGGTTTAAATCCTTCTGATGAAGCAGATGAGCTGCTGTTGTGTCATAATAATTACCTAAACTTGTGTACCACACCCTGCAAACCTCTGTCACAACACACACTGCTGCTGTACATGACTCACAGGAGTGGACTCCTTATTGTTCTCTCAGTGTTTTTCTTTTTACTGCAGTTCAGTGAAAATGAAATCAAGCGTTTGTACGCTGACAGGTGGGGCTGTTACCTGTAAGGTGACATTTATCACAATTTACTACTAACCGCTACAGATACACCGTCTTAGAATAACAGTTAGGTATTGTTCTGCAGGTATTGTTCAATTACACAGAATTTTATTTTACAGTCTAGTGGGTTTCAAATATGCTGATGTTCAGCATCTTTTGTTAGTGTGTTGGCACACTAACATTTGCTAATTAGCAGTTAGCACAGCTGAGGCCTATGGCAATGTTATGACTTTTTGGTATCAAAGTAGGCCTATTGGACACATCAACATGTGACCTGCTGATGGCACTTCATGAAAAAAGGATCACCATAGTTACAGTTGATCCTGAGGGGAATATGAAGGTCTGCAGCACATTTTATGACAATAAAACAGTGTTAATGGTGACTGTAGAAGAAACATCTGCACAAAGTCAGTAGGAGGAGACCATGAATGTCTGAACCAAACTTAAAGACAATCCAACAGTAGTTGTTGAGTTGGTGAAACGACAGACATACCGACATACCAACATACCGATACGAGAGCACAGAACTAACTTCAAAACAGGACTTCACAACAGCCGCGGAAATGTCCCTGAGAGTTAATTAAAACTTCCTCTCTGTGACTGACAGCTGACATGATGTTGACAGTGTTGATGCATCACCACTGGTTCACAGAGAACAGACACTCCTCTTGATTATCATTATTAAGACAGGTGTGTCATTAATTCCTGTGTTATTAGGTCGAATGATTTGAATTAATGTGTGCGGCAATTATCAAGTAGAAACACCTTTCATACTATTGAAACTCTATTAAAGATGGTGATGTATATTGTTTTACTCACCTTACTGCAACTAAGAAATTTTAGGAAATCTGCCTTTAAGAAATCACTGATTCCAGCTTCTGAAATGTGAATATTTTCTTGTCTTCTCAGTCCTCTTTGATATTAAACTGAACATCTTTATGTTTTGGACCAAAAAAGAATAAAAGTAGACATTTGACTTTAACTCAGGAAACTGTGATGGGCTTATTTCTGTTTTTCTTTCTTTTTTACACGGTAAAATGTGCCAAAGTTTGGGTGAGTGTTCCCATTGGAAGCCCAATGTTAAGTTATGTACGGACCCTTTATTCGGCGCTGCTGTGCCATCATAAATCTCTGTCTCTGCCTTTAACTCCTCTCTCACTCAGACAAACAGCAGACGCTCTGCAGCTTGACCCAACCTCATATCTACATCTTCTCAGGCAGCAAATGGCCAATTTAGGCAGTTTCATCTGAATGCCGTGGTCCAGCTGTCATCCCTGTTTATCTAACTCCTCTAGTCTTATAAATATTTACTAAATAACACCCCCTGCTAATTAATAAAAAACTAAATACTGAAACCAACTATTAATAATTTTAATATTCTTATCAATGCATGTTTTTATTTTTCTGTTATTTTGTACATAAATATATATATTTATTTGGTAAAATTATAAGTTGTCAGCTAACAATTCTTCAGTAGTTGTTGAGTTGGTGAAAAGACCGACATACCAACATTCATTATCGTGATTATTGTGCATTAAAGGAAGTGTTCGGTGTTATTCTATCAGCCATTTTCATTAAAAACAAAAAGTATCTCTAAGTACTGTCTGACTTCCTGACTGTGGCTTGCAGCTTCCTAATGACGATGTAAATCTTTAAAAACAGCTCATAAATATATAGTTTCATGTTTAAAAACAGCTGCTCACTGTAGTTTTTAATCAAAGTGCATTTGTTGGGGACTATTTTCAGCAGCGGATGAATCCATATGTGGTGCTTTAGCGAGTATTTGGGACTGCAGGCGTTTGTGGGACTGAGTCAAAATAAATTACTGTGAACTGATAGCAGCCTTGGAGGAGGGATATACATCTAAAAAACAGATAGACGTGATGTTAAACATTAATTTCCGGTGAAGTATTGTGTGTGTCTGTGACTTACCCCTGGAACTGAACAGAGTAAAGGACTCTAGTGCTGCAGGGCTCCTGCAGTGGGCGCCACTTCAGTACGTGTATCATGTCTACAGACTCCATTGAAACTCCGCTGGGAGTCGGTAGCATCCAAACATCTGTTGACACAATGAGCTCATATTTTAAATCTTGTCTCAGAAATCAGATGATAGAGAAAGGGGAAGCAAGCACAGTTATTACTGTCAGCGGGACTTAACTGCAGTGGTGGACAGTAATTAAATATATTTACTCAAGTACTGCACTTAAGTATAAATTTAAGGTACCTGTACTTTACTTGAGTATTTTCTTTTCATGCCCCTTTTTACTTGTACTCCACATCTCAGAGGGAGATATAGTGCTTTTTACTTCACTACATCTATCAGACAGCTTCACTTACTACAAATTAAACTTTATACATGCAAAACATGAAGCGTTTATAAAATATGATGTTTAGTTGGGTTAGGTGCAGCCGAAACAATTATTACTGACTGACACTGAAAGAAACTGACAACGACTTTGATCGTTTAAGACATTTTTCATGTAAAAACATGGTTTCAGCTTCACAAATGTGAAGATTTGCTGATTTTGACTATTTTAATTTATTTGTAATAATTCTGAGCTTTGTGCTGTTGGGTAGACAAAGCAAGCATTGTGGTGTCACTCTGTGCTCCGGCTAACTGTGACAGCATTTTTCACTATTTGCAGAATTTCAAAAGTCAATTAATTGAGAAAATAATCAGCAGATTAATCTATAATGAAAATAATCATAAGTTGCACAAAATGGTTAAAATGAGCTCCAGCTCAACAATTACAACAGTAAAATCCTACTTTTACATCAATGCATGAGTAATAATATTAATATACAATAGTATAGTAGTAAGTACTATAAGGACATTTTTCTTTCTGCAATGAAGAACATTTTCCTGAATACTTGCATACTCTTACTTTAGTAACATTTTCAATGCAGGACTTTCAGCTTGTGTGGTATTAGTACTTTTTCTTAAGTAAAACATCCGAATACTTTGTCCACCACTGACACACACATATAACTGAGTAACTAGAATTATTATTTAAAAGGTTTATAATGAACACCAGTGTTTAATAAAGAGTAAAGTTTACTTCAACAGTAAAGCTTACTTTACTTTTAAATTCTGTTTGTCATGTCAGCAGCCCCTCACAAATATAACCATGTAAATAGTACTTTTTACTTTTGATAATATTTTTAAAAGCAGGTACTTTTGGACTTTGACTAAAGTAAACTGAAGACTTCAACTTTTAGTGGAGCAATATTTAGCAAGGGTATGTGTACTTTTTCTTGCTTTTATCTTGTATTGTTTTTATATTATTGTCTTTACATTTGTTAAAGCACTTTGTAACTTGTTTTTGAAAAGTGCTCTACAAATAAAGATTATTATTATTATTATTACTTTGTACAGAATTTGTGTACTTCCTCCACCACTGCTTGACTGAGGGGAATATTAATAACAAAAAACTATACAAGTGTAGAACATGTCCTCAACAGTGTAGTAAGGGAGACAGATTCTACTGGATCTGTATCAGCTGGGAGGGAAAGTGAACTCACAGTTTGTGTAGTCCAGCAGAACAATCACCATCATCATCACCATCAGCAGACTCGCAATGCGTGTCAGTGTCATGGTCTGAGAGTTCACCACGTCAGATCCACCATGTCCAAATCCCACCAGTGACCTGCATGCAAACGGGCCCAGAACACAACAGAGTAGGGGAGAGCGGGGTAAGTTGTCTCGTGTGTAAGTTGTCACACTGCTCATAACTCCAACACTAGAAGCTCTATGTCAAAAATCATATGGCCACTTTGTGTGACTTCTTTTTCTATGTTCAACTTCCTGTTCACATGTGGTCAAGGTGCCTCTAATCTGAGGAGGAGCACATTTTTTATATTTTCTTCTTTCAAAAGTAAAACATTTGCACTTACTTTATTTTATGCAATCCAACTTTGTTAGGAATCAATGTTCAAAATGATAATTTTGAACAATTTAGAGAGAATTTTGATACTTCAGCTGAAGTGCTATGTTGATCTAACCTTGAGATTTAGCCAACATTAGCACACATGTCAGTTTGGGGCAAGTTGTCTTAATGACTTTGGGGCAAGTCGTCACATGTGACGTGCCCAAGAAAAAGTGTGAAATTGTGTAATCACCTCTGACACCAGTGTTAAATGATACTGTAAATAGATTATACAGTATAGTTTACAGCAGCAGGCCTATCTCTGGACTACACAAGACCGAATTCATGATACTGTATGATGTAGTGTGTATGTGCCTGTGGGAATATACAGTCTCATATTGTAGGCATGTAGCGTGTTAGTAGACAAACACACACACACACACACTACTTCATACAGTTATTAATGTAGTTAGGCAACAAGGATAGTAGACAAAAAAAATAACTAATTTATTTGTAATTGCAATGAGGAAATGTGTTTTAAAGGAAGGAAGAAAGAAATTGAGATTGTTAGAAATGATCAACTAAATTTCAGAAAGTATGTGGATGAAGTGTGTGAAATGCAACAAACGGGCCCATGATGCTTGCACCTCAGGCCAGGGAATTTATATGTGCAAGAAAAGTGACTCTAAATAAGACTCTGATTAGTCAGATACAGATGTCCTTTGCACAAAAATGCACATTAGTTGCATTAGTGTTACCACATCTGTTTTGTTAAGAAGTTAAAGGATATCTATTACCCTGCATTTCCAGCGCTATAATGTAGTTCTTGTTTTGAATGATTTCCATGAAAACACGTGTCATCCTGTGCTGGGCGGTATTCACCAACAACATCACTTGCCATTTTTGTATCCGAGATTTTAAATTAAGTCTATGGCCCAAGATGGCAACAAACACAGTGCATCTAAATGAGACTGGGGAAAAAAACTATATTTGGAAAAAACATTGGTCATTTAGTGTGATCCACGTAGACAGACTGAGCGTAGCAGTTGCCAGGAGGATGGGGCTGTGCACAAATTCCATTGAATTATTATAATTGTTTTGATTGAAAGGACCGATTTTACAGATTCACTAGTCATGATTGTTTTTTTTTTAGTGCTTGGATGAATTTTAAATTTAATATATAAAATCAATATTCACAATTGAGTAGTTGTATTTTTAATTGTTTGATAGTCCAGTGTGACTTGTGTCTTACCTGCCAATGGGGCAAAAAGTGCACACTCTCAATTCAACAGTCTACAACTCCGTAATGAGATAAGATATGAAGATGTGATGAATACAAAATATGTGCCCAAGACTTCATTCTTTCATTTATTATGAAATTTGTACCATTGTGATGTACGGTGTTCAGCAAATAATAGACAGTGTAAAAAGTGTGACAACATACCCCACTCTCCCCTACTTTCCAGAAATAAGTCAAAGAAAACCCGCTCATCCAAGAAGTGAGTAAAAAGCCTTAAATCCACTGTAAGGAAGGGGATAATATTCCAATAAGTCTCTCAGTTTAGGATCCACATAGTCCAGAGTCTCTGGTTTCTGTCAGAGTTTATTTCAGCCTCCGAACACATGAAGAGCAGTTTGACATGGCGAAAGCAGAAGCCATGTGAGCGTCACTGTGATCTGTCCCAGATCTGCAGATCAGAGCCGGTGTGTCCAGATGCAGAGGATGGATTCTGGGCTGCAGAGCAGGTCCAACTTGTTGTCAGCTCCCTCGGGGCGTAAGCTGTCAGCTGTATTTGACAGGTTAAACTCTTAACACACTTAATGAGCTCTGGAATGGGACCAGGACTACAGAGCTGCTGGTATCTGTGGCTGATTCTTCACAGCTTTCTGTTTTGTATCTTTCTTTTTAACTCTTTAACAACAAGCACATTTTTTTTGTTTTGCACAAGCCAGACAAACAGTTTACCCAAAACAAAATGATGTTCTCTCATCCTGGTCTCTCTTTGGAGTTCTCTCTACTGTTCAGTTTACTTTCTCTGGTATTTTGTTCACCGTCAAACATCATTTCGTCCAACAACAGTAATTAAAAAGGGAAAAGAAAGCTTGTTTGCTTAGCTTGGTTGCTAACAAGCAGGGGTTGAGCTGTACATTTACTGTATATGATCCACATTTTGCTATAAAAATAAATTGTTTAGAAAGAAACTACATTTATACTTGAAAATTTTAATTATATATTTTTTTATATCACATTTACTATTTTAGATAAAACATCGGGGACCCCCACCTGTCGCATCAAATGATGAGCAACAGCCAATATGTATGTTGTGCCATGTCTAATCTAGTCAATACATTTGTTCTTGTGTGTACTCCATGTATTTATTGGCCAAGAAAGGAACTTCAAGCCACAACAACAGGAGAAGCTTGCCTGTAGGCACCAAATGTACCAACGAGACAATAAGGTCACACAGTTTAATCAGAAGACGTATTTGTACCGTGGACTGCTGTCTGGGAACCATGTCTCTTCTGTCCAACAGTTTTTGATATAGTAATTTAATATAATCCGGTCTGAATCTTAATTTACAGTCTGTGGTTGAACTCTTAAAAATTTCAGCAACATATTTTTTTCTGCATTGGACTCCAACAGAGACGTTTTAACTATTTCCCTCTTCATAGGTAGGACGTTTTAGGCCATAGAGGAAAAGTAAAAGTTCAGCAAACTAAAACTCCACCTGCACAGTTATAAAGTAGCATTTACTGAAATATTATTGATTGTACTAAAAATTGTGACTATATAATAAAAAAACTTCAACAAAACACAATGCAATATAAACGAGTAGGAATCTGATGATAAAACACACACACATAAAAAAGTGTTCAATTTCATTGAAAGGAAAAGCAGGATACCAAAGATTGTTGTTGCATTTCTGGACAAATAAGAACAGCATGAAATTACCACCGAGTAGTAATAAATAACTCGTAAAACAACAAGTACATTTAAAGAGTTAAAGAAGAACTGAAAATACAACATTAAAACATTAAATTAGTAATAAAATAAATAAATGTTTTCCAGCAGTGTGAGAGCTGAGAAACTACAACAGCTGATAATCAGACAGACTTCTTGCAGTGGTGGTAAATATTGATTTTATCTAAATGCATGCTAATAATTATATATCTACTATTGTGTACTTATATTCACCTTATTTGCTGTGATACTGTCCACTATAATAAGCCAGTGTTTATATTAAAGCGAGCCACTGTGGAATTGTATTTCCTGTCTCTGCCTATTTCCATTTTTTAGGGAAGTTTGAGTTTCAAGGTCTTAAGATCAAACATATGTTCCACACATCTTAAATGTTATCGTCGACTGCTCGGAGACAGTTACTCCAGACTGTCTAGGGTTTGGGACCTCCTCCTATACTCCTTTGATTCATTTCCTTATAAATAAATAAATAAAAAAGACAGCTGTTTGTTGTAAATTATTATTATGTAGTAATGGTTCTCTGAAAGTAAAAAAAATTATATAATTTTAGGGTGTATTTCTCCTTCAAATGCAAAAATATGTGTTCTGTTTCTTGCGCATCATGTAGAAGAAAAAGTTTCTTCTCATGTTTTAATGATAAAATCTGTAGAGATGTTATAATGAATTATTTCTCATCGTTTTTCTTTTGTGATAACTGTGATCCAGTCTGATCAGTTCTCTATATTTCTGTCTCACTGCTTCTCTCGACAGACGACAGAAAGAGTGCAAAGCGTCAGACTTTGGACTTATTATAATCAAACATTAACTGTCACTAACCATAAAACTATAAAACAGAACAACTCACACAACCTGCAAACCAAGGTGTAACCATCAGATTAATAACAACCTGTAACTGACAAAACAGCAGCTCCAGCAAATGTTATTAATTATTCAATGTTAAAATTGTTGAATTTAATCGTTCTACTCATTTATTTATTTAAATCCAACATATCTAAACATTTTAAAATGTGTTCACACAAGTTGAAGCAGCTGTAAATTTTTTAATCTGCAGCCTCAAGATTTGTGGTTGAAATGTTGGTTCTATTTTCATTTCACCCATTCATTTATAACAACAGTTTCAGAGTAACTGATGAAGGAATTATGTCATTAGAAGACATCATCGCTCTCCTGATTCATCTGACTCATCCTTCTGACAGTAGGGCAGGACCTGGAGTTCCCTACATGGACATGAACATGTTTATTGTTCTTTCACTTCCTGCTGTAGACCTACGTCCTTTACTCAGTGTTCATAAACAGCTGGCTGGTTAATTTGAGGAAATATACACAAAGTGAATATACTGAGGAAAGAATTAGGCAGTAACACCACTGAGGTTTCAGTTCCCTTTAACACAGATTATTTGATATTTGAGCTCTGATGAAATCCATTTTAATCTTTCAAGCTCTAATTTATGTACTTGCACATTGTCTTTATTTATTTATGTGGCATTATGTAACAGTGTAGTTAAAAAAAAAACAATCAGGACAGAACAAAGCAGTATCTGTGTTCTTTAATTCACATGTGAACAAGTTTTACTGGTTTATTAACATATCACAGCTTCTTAAATATCAACTACACCTTAAATACTTAATATTCTTTCTCTACTTCTTCTGAACACGCCTTTGTCCTGTTTCTCCTCCCACAGTTTTAATGAGTAGCAGGGCAACATCTTTTGTCTGGGGGGTGGTGATGGCGCCCTGCACAAGACACTTAACCCCTAGTTGCTCCAGAGGCATACGTCTTCTAACATAAAATAGCAATTGTAAGTCGCTTTGGATAAAAGCTAAATGAATAAATGTAAATGTAAAATGTCTGTGATTTTCAAATCATTTAGTCAGTTAAAAAAGAAACCTCTTTTTTGATGTGACAATGCTATGATTAAAGTTTGGTTAGGTTTAGGTACAAAAAAAGACTTGCACAGTGACCACTATGTTACCAAAGGAGGAAGTCGGGTGACGTCTTATAAATAGGCAGAAAGACTGTATAAAGAGGTAGGATGCTGTGGTTGGATGGGTCAAACCCCAAATTTTCACTTAGGAGGACGCCATTTGTCCCATGTGAAACCAAGTAAATACCGTTCCGTCACACAACTTGCATAATTTACTAACTTTCACTCAAACCACAACGTTTTTCTAAACCTAACCAAGTAGGTTTTGTTGCCCACAACTAACCAAACCGTTTCACAACATTAACCACATGTTTAATGTCATATGATGTAGGTCATGTAACGTAGTTAGCGCTCATATCGGTCGTTTTGGGAGGCATGGACAAACGCCACCAGTAGGGGGCACTACTTCAGGAAATTCTGACATTTGACGTTTTGGGAGGTATGGATAAACAACCTATGTTGTCAATTAGGTTGGAGGACTTGCTGCCATTATCTGTATCTGATCAACCAACTAACAACCAAGTATGCGTCTTAAACCAGACTTGGGCGGGACTAACCAGAACTTGTTCATACACTAAGCCTGAAACATATTTACTGAACAGCACCAGAAATGAGCTTAAAGCAATGTATTTGATCACAATAGAAAAATAACTATTTACAGAATACAGATATTTTTTTTAGAAAACAGATATTGAGCTTTTTTCAGGGTCAGCCATGTTTGTCATTCACTTTTGGCGTCACGCACCTGGAACGCTTTGAGATCGGAAGTCGGACATTTCTATTGGGAAATTACGACCTCCAACTGTGACTGGAACACAACATGAAAATAACTACAACAAAAACCTTAGCAACAGGAACACTATGGTGCCACAGTGGGCATTAAACCTGGTTATCAAATCTAAACATCCTTCAGTAACTCCATTCCACCACCTCAAAAACCACTATCAACCCACTAGAGTGATCCTATGTCTACCACCTAACAACCACCCGCTAACACCGTCGCCCTGTCAGACTTGAGCATTAATCTAGCAAAATCTCACAAACCATGTACACAACAAATAATAGCAAGTCATTAGCAGCACATGAACATCTTCATCTCAGAACTTTTCCCATTGCAGTGCCAGTTTGCTACTTTTCACCTGTTGTCTCTCTGACTGATCAGGTTTAGCTCTCTGTGTGAAGTTTTATGACTTCAGGAAAACGCCGGACTCCTGTCACTGTCAAAACAAAGACTGGTGGATGGTTTTCAAAGTGATTTGAGGTGTGGCTGAAGACTCACCATCATCATCATCAATAGTGGGAGGTGATGGGGAACGACAGGGAGTGGCTCCTGGAAGTTTATGGCCCCTGATAGAGTGTAAAGTCCCCCTGTTAGAGCCACGGACATCAGATTAACAAGAACTAAGTGCAGGAGAGAGCCCAGAGCCTCCGACAAGCAACTGCTTCTGACTTCACCCACTGAGGCTTTACCCAGGAAGACCAGGCCTTGTGACCCTGTCATTCCTGTCATTTTGAAGTCTTTATCTCAAAGGCTTCGTTGTTTTGTTTCAGTTGGATTTCTGGAAACGTTGCAATCATGACGACGGCTGTGGAAGTCACCGGGTTCGTTATGTGCATAATCAGCTGGTTGGTCAACGGAGCGACGCTGTCCAATGACTACTGGAAGATTTCCACCGTGTCCGGCAGCGTCATCATCTCCGTGAGGCAGTTTGAAAACTTGTGGCACTCCTGCGCCGAGAACAGCGGCGGCATTGCCGAGTGTAGAGACTTTGAATCGCTGCTCTCCCTCCCTGGTAAGACGAGAACCCACTGAGTTTTAAAACCTCATGTATTCTAGTTTAAATAGCCTTTTACTGTAAAGAGCAGAAATATTTCCCAATTTCCGGAAAAGCAAAGATGCTTGATGATTTTTAGCCTCAGTTTTCAAGTTTCAGTCTCAAGTCTATAATATACAAGAGGGGGAAATTGTCACTGTTGAAAGATAGGAAATACAACAGGATATAAGGAAAGAATAAAACTAAACAGATAACCTCATCAAATTTATATAAAATAATAACATATTCAAGGTTGCCATTTCTAAAACAACATTTTATGTCCCACATTTCTTAAGTTTTATTTTAAAAATAATAAGATAAATTGTCCCCGCGACCCTGTACGCAGGATAAGCGGTTGACGATTGATGGATGGATGGAAGATAAATTGCTAACTTGAATGACTTCTAAATTTTGAATCATCTTGTTTAGTTGATTGATAGACAGGTACTTTATTCATCCCCAAAGGGAAATCCCAGAAATATTTCATTGAATGAAGGTAAAAATCTAAAACTTTTGGAAGGCTTTCTTGAAACAAATAAAATTTAACACTGATTAAGTGACTTAGTTAGTTAAGAAGAAGCGAGGTCAACTTCAAGTTCCTCATATACATGAGGTCATGAAGCTGCTGAAGGAAATCAGTAATCCACCAGGTTTCAGGTTCTGAAAGTGAAATAATTTTATAATCTAATTAACTCAAATTGTTCGAGCCTCACTAGTTGATCAGTGGAACTTCTAACTTGCATAAAACTCGTTTTTTGGTAAATTTCTTTGAAAGCTTATCATATTCGTCTTACGGAAAATAGGCCAGAGTGCCATGTCAGAATTACTCGTCCAAAGGTTGGCGGCTTTCAGTTTCCCGCCTAAAATCCAAATGAAGATCAGTTACTGATATAGTTCATTACAAAGACAAAACTACGTCACCATTATGCATTGTTTGATATAATAATAGTGAAGTTAATTTATGAATTAAATGTATTCTTCCCACAAGATGTTTCATAATGTATCAGATTATCTTTTGGGCGCCATTTTGAGCCTCGTCCTCCACTGACAATAAAATGGAGGGAATCACCTGTCAAGACCAGACGGATGTTGCGTCCTCTTCAGTTTAGTTTGGTTTAGTGTACTTTAATCTTTATTTACTGGATTTGATGTAAAAGTATGACTTTAGATGGTTAAGTCATGTTTTAGGTTTTGTTTATTCTTAAAAATGTTCTCACAGCCTTGTTTAAGGAGAACAGTTGACTTCTTCGACAGCAATGTTCCCTAACAAAATATTTTCTACAGTCATCATTTTGAAACAAAGGCATGTGATTGGTCAGAAAACGTGAATAGGGAGCATCTTATTTGATTCACCTTAACAGACACTTATGAATGAGTCTTATATAACTTACCTGATCAAGATATTTAAGCTAAACGTGTGACTGATGGTTTTACTGTATGATTCATTGTTCAGCCTTTCTGCCTATCTTCTTTTCCTGAAACTCTATTAGGCTCATAAATAGGTGCCGCAGGTTTTTATGATCATTAGAGGTCAAGTCATGTCTCTCTCTGTCAATAAATTACCTCAACAGTTCAGCTGGGTACCATAAAGCCCACAAACACATGATGTTACTTCCGGTTCCTACATTTATTTTTCTTTTCCGATGTAAGGGAACTTTTTTGTGTGTGTTATTACTTTAATAGTTTTAACACTTTTCTGCAAGGTAAATGTATACAAAAGATCAATCGTGCTTTGAGGCGGCAACATGAGCAATGAGATGAATTTTAAACAAGATTACAGACTTACACAACTTAAATCATTGATATCGAAGCCAAAGAATTATTGAAACCTACATATTAGATATTTCTAGTTCTTAGGCTTGAACATGGATTTGTTAACAACCTGTTAACTGACATCAGATCTCATATTCAAACTCAAACTCAACAACATTCATCCAGGATAACGGTGTTTATTTCCTGTGTGAAACAAAGTCAACACTGAATGTTTTTATTTTAGCTGCGTAAGATACGCAATTAACATTACTTAACTTACATAAGTTAAGTCACATAAGTTAAGTCACATAAGTAACGTTGTTATTGTAACCCAAACTATGATGTTTTCCTAAACCTAACCAAGTATGTTTGGTGATTAAACCTAATCAAACTTTGATGTTTTACAACGTTAACCACTAGTTTTTTTCTTTGAAAGCCTAACTGGAAGTTGCATGTTTACTGTTGCTAACTTGATTGTGGAGCCCTATATGTGCAAAATTGAAGCTAAAAGGTACCCAGGGTGTTAAAAGCGACGCCAAGGGTTCTTGACCAAGCGTCCCTGACCAAGCGTCCCTATGCCACTATGTGTGAGTGAGAATGTGTCAACCGACAGACTTTTTACCTTCCATTGTTTTGCTTTTTTGATTTCCCATCTCTAAAACCAGTCAAACCTCTATTTCGTATACGTGCAATATTTAACAATAATAATCATCAAGTAATTTGTACTTTATCCCCATAACTTTATTTATATCAACAGTTTGTTATCACATTAGGTCAGTTGTTTTTTAGTTCAGGTTGAGAACATGATGGGAACATCTAGCTGTCTCTATCAGTCCTATGGTATTGCATATTTTAGTGTTTACACACAGAAAGACCTCATTTCCTATTAGCCATGTTGCTTAATATCATCTCTTACCTACCTGGATAAACAACAATATAGTTTTTCCATAAGAGAGCAGCAGAGACTCAGTGCGAATAAAATCCAATGCAGACGTGTCTACTGGAGATGATGAAGAGCGTGTGTGGAGGTGATTTATTGGTGAGATACTTTTTTTCCTCTCTGCAGCTCACATTCAGGCATGTCGTGCTCTGATGATTATCTGTCTGCTACTCGGCCTCGGCTCCATGATCGTGTCACTGCTCGGACTGAAGTGCATCAAGATTGGCTCGGCCACCGACCAATCCAAGGCCAAGATCGCATTCACCGGGGGAATCCTGAGTATCCTTGCCGGTGAGTCAACACAAAAACACAAACTCAGTTTTGTTTATGTGATGTGTGTGCTATATACAGTATAACTCCGATTGTTAAGAAATCTTATCATCTTTTGTCTTTGACAACTGATAAAAACACGCAACGTATTGTTACTTATAGAATTGTAAACATTTGTAATATGGTTATAACGGTTAGTTTGCTGTCCATGTAGAGTGAACTAGATGTCTGCTTGTTGTTTATACGCTCTGATAGTGTTAATCCAACACATCTTTGTAGTAGTGTCCATGTTGATTCAGCATTCAGAATTAAGAGCACATGAACACAATGAAGCTGGAAGAACGACTTCACAACTCGGGAAATGGGACCATCTGAGGAGCACGTGCAAGCAACGCGAGATGCTGGTTGCAATTTTCAACCATCACCACTAGATGCCACTAAAACGTACACACTGCACCTTTGAATTAGTTAGCGATGTGAAGAACCCATGTGTTTTCATAAAGGTGGAATGATTTGATTTTATAACAACAGAAGTACTATGGCATCATCCAGAGCACAGAGGCAACACGGCACCTTATGGAAGAAATGAGGAATTAAAACTATGATCTTTAATGTAAATGTTTTGCTTTGTGTTTGCAGGTCTGTGCTGCATGATAGCCATTTCCTGGTACGCCTACAGAGTTGTGCAGGACTTCAACAACCCGTTCTTCGGTGGTGTGAAGTGAGTTGACTCAAATATACATCCATCAAAAGTTTAGATTGATCCTGTCACACCAGGCTGAAAGGATTAAAGTATAAACAATGAATGTTTAAGAAAAGATAAGGTTTAATGTTGGTATAATAAGCATAACAGATATTACAAGCATTGGGATTAATATTAAAAAGCTATTTCTTGATGACCTTAATGCAAATGAAATGCATTCAGAATTTAAATAAAATGTGAGATTTCTTTTTTAAATTAATTTATCCATTCAGTAATTCACATTTTTGATTACTTCTTATTTTACAGTCAGCATTTAATTGATGATATATGTATGTATTTGTCATATACACATTGGGAGGTATAGAGAACTACTAATTCACTTTCTAGAATTCAGAAATAACATTAATCTTCTGTTAGTTGTTTGACTCTTGTTTGTCGTGTGTTTGCAGGTTGTTTGACTCTGTCGTGTGTTTGCAGGTTGATGTCGTGTGTTTGCAGGTTGTTTCTCGTGTGTTTGCAGGTTGTTTGACTCTGTTGTGTGTTTGCAGGTTGATGTCGTGTGTTTGCAGGTTGTTTCTCGTGTGTTTGCAGGTTGTTTGACTCTGTGGCGTGTTTGCATGTTGATGTCATGTGTTTGCAGGTTGTTTGACTCTGTCGTGTGTTTGCAGTTTGATGTTGTGTGTTTGCAGGTTGTTTGACTCTGTCGTGTGTTTGCAGGTTGATGTCGTGTGTTTGCAGGTTGTTTGACTCTGTCGTGTGTTTGCAGTTTGATGTTGTGTGTTTGCAGGTTGTTTGACTCTGTCGTGTGTTTGCAGGTTGATGTCGTGTGTTTGCAGGTTGTTTGACTCTGTCGTGTGTTTGCAGGTTGATGTCGTGTGTTTGCAGGTTGTTTGACTCTGTCGTGTATTTGCAGTTTGATGTCGTGTGTTTGCAGGTTAATGTTGTGTGTTTGCAGGTTGTATAACTCTGTCATGTGTCTGCAGGTTGTTTGACTCTGTCATGTGTTTGCAGGTTTGAGCTGGGTACCGGCCTCTTCCTGGGATGGGCTGGAGCCAGTCTGAGTATTCTGGGTGGAGCTTGTCTCTGCACCGCCTGTAAAAGAGCGTCACCTGGAGGCAAGGCAGCGTAAGTGCTACACCCCTCACCTTGGTTTATATCTTCTTTTTAATGCTTTAAAAAGGTATAAACAAGGACTCCCATTTTAACAGTTCCTATAATGCTTGTGTCTTTATCTTACAGTTTGAGTTTAACTCAACTTGCTGTCTTGTTTTACAGGGGCTACTATGGAAACAAGCCACAGAAGGTCTACACAGCTACATCCAAGTCAGAGTCAGATGTCAAAGCTTACGTCTAAACACACACACACATGCGTCATACGATCTGTAAGGACACTGTTTAGGCTTACTTCAACCTGGTGATCCTGTTTTACGTAAACTAAAACAACAAAGTTTTAAAATAATTTGTTTATTTGAGGGGACCGGCTGTCCCCAGGTGGGAGGACAGTCCCCACAATGACTACAAGAACACACACACACTATTACATGTACTGTAAACACACCATGTCCTCTAATGCCAGGAGATTGACTGGAATATGGACATGTAGGGAAATATTAGCTTTTTTTTTATGTGACTTCTGAGTTTTTGATATGAAATCTTAAATCTAAATCTAGGGAAATACATTTGTAGATGATTGTTCATGATTTTTATCCTGTTTGGAGTTAATAATTTTCTGAATAAATTTTGAAGTTTTTTTCAAGTTGAAGTGCCTGCATCCATGTCTTTTGTAAAAAGTCACTTTGTAGTTGCTTTGTGACTCCAATATGTCTTAATGAAAAGTTGAAAAATACATTAATAAATACTTATACCTGGTTACAACTACATTTTGGGGCGTTATTGATCATTTATTTAATGTCTAAATACTGATCATAAATGCTAAAGAAAGGGGCTTTTAGTAAACAGAAAACTGTGTCCTAATGTAGGAGACCATGTGCATTTGTTCCTGCATGTGCAGACTGTAGGATAAGTAATTTTGTGGGTGTGTATGTGTGTGTGTGTAGGCTATTTGTTTCAATTGGTATGTATTACTAACGTTGCGGGGACATAAAACTGTTTACACATTCACATTGTGGGGCCTTCCACACAGGAAGTTATAATTTTAGATTATAGGGTAAGGGGCTAGGGAATGCATTATGTTAATGAGATGTCCGCACGGGGATAGTGGAACAAACAAATATGTGTGAGTGTGTAATCTCCTGTGTAATAAAGATTATTAATGCGCTGCAGGGCTGTAATCTACCTCTGTCTGTTTACCCGCTGACAGGCAGAACAGTGGATTAAAGCTGCACAGCATCACTCTGTCTATGTATAGACCTCCTCACTCACCGTGGACTGGATCAAACCTGCTGCTCAACCTTCAGGCCAAAAGTCTGAACGCATATTTATATTTCTGTCTGCTCACACTCACTTCTGCAAACCAAAAATGTCAAGTGATAAAACATGGTTTGAAAGGACATCCAGAGTAAACAGTAGTCGCTTCATGTCTGCACTTGAGCAGTTCTTCACTAGAGTATTTCCATTTTGGAAAAGAGGTAAATATGGTACTCTGCAGATTTCCATTCAATATAAACAGTGGTAATATCAATCAATCAATAGTTAGTATCCTTGGCATAGAACTATGTAAAAGACACGATGATGTTCATTCGTTTTCCATTTTAATACAGCGTCCAGAAGAAATAAAACATTCTGTCTTGAATTTTCAGGTTTACTATGTCAGAATTAAGTCTCTGATAGGACATCCCGTTCTCACTCGCAAGTCGTCACATATGGATGCATGGTCAAGAACCCTTGGTGTCAGTTTGTAATCATGGGGGAAGCCCTGTAGCGTCATTAATGAACGCTAAAAGTAGGTGTAGTATATTTAACAGAAAATTCAGAGTAAGGAGTCGGTTGAGGTGGATGGAGGGTCTGACACAAGACTTTCATCCAGGAGATGTCAAGTTATGTAAGTTACATAAGTTACATAGCTTAAGTCACGTAAGTAACATACTTCTTAAAACCCAGTCTTAATCCTCTTTGTGCCTAGTGGGAAATAAGGCTTCGATGATCTGCCACCAGCTGGACCTTTCTTGTGCTACTCGCTGGGCCTTGCCCCAATGTCAGATGCATATCCTTTAGCTCACCTATCACAGCTGCCTAGTTGTTTTGGGCCGACCTTGCATCCTTTTCCCTGGTGGAGTCCATCCTCCTGCAACCTTTGAGATTCGATCCTGCGCCATTCTGAAGACGTGCCCTTGCCATCAGATTCTGTGGCGTTTGATCTCCAGCATCATGCTGTCGCACTTTGTCGTTTTGTATATCTGTTCGTTTGAGATCTTCTCCAGCCAAAATATGAAACAAATTTTCCTAAGGCATCCATTGTTGAAAGCATATTTTAACCCAAACCATGATTTTTTCCTAAACCTAACCACAAAGCGACGTTTGACAACGTTAGCCAGTAGTTTTATTTTGAAAGTCTCACTGAACGTTGTATATTTATTGTTCCCAGTGTTGGGCAAGTTACTTCCAAAATGTAATACATTATAGATAACTAGTTACTGTCATTTGAGAGTAATTAGTTACATTACAATATTACTGTGTCTGATTTGTAATGCTTTACACTACTTTTGCTTTACTTCAGAGTTACTTTCACTTCTAATTAATGGTCCTATTATTCTGATAGTAAGATGTGTGGAGAGTTATCCGCGGATCGGGTGGGTCTATGTCATAAAAATTAACCTTCTGATTAATAGCACGCGGGTGGGAGGGATTAGTAATAGTTATACTGCGTTACAGCAAAAAGGAATACATTACTGTAATTCCATTACTTTTGAAACGCGTTACTCCCAACATTGGTTGTTCCTAACTTGACCCTTGCCCTACATGTGCAAAAAATGACACTAAAGGGTTCCCAGAGCGTTGAAAAGCGACGCCAAAGGGTCAGGAAGCCAAATCTGAGCATCTGCATCGTGGTTTTCAGCCTTAGATTCACAAGTGAACCTATGTTTTTGGACGGTGGGAGGAAGCCGGAGCACCCTGAGAAAACCCACGCAGTCACGGGGGATAACATGCAAACTCCATACAGAAAGGCCTGGGACGACTAAGGTTTGAACCCCAGACCTTCTTGCAAAAAAAGGCTAACCACTGCACCAGCGCGCTGCCCCTGTGTACATTCTTAGGCTTTAGTCAGTGTGGAATGTCCACCCGGCTGCACGATGGGGACGTCGGCCTACAAATTCAAAACAACTTCCTGATACCAAAAAGGACCGACCAGAGGAGCTTTAAAACAGAAATTTGGTTATTTATTTTAAAATATACTCATATAAAATGTGTTTTACCATTTTAAAGAGAGAGTAATCTGTTTCTATAAAGCCAATTGTTGCAGCACATTTTGTGTTTTCCTTACTATACCACTATCCATCTCGCTCCACGTCTCTCTCTCTCTCTCTCTCTCTCTCTAATCTCGCCCTGTTGTGCTGACTGAGAGGAACCAGCTTCAATCCTCTCAGCCGGCTCATTCACAGGAAGTCTGCATCTGTCTGGGTGTCTGTCTGGATGTTGTGGTTTGAGGAGGAGGAGGAGGAGTAGGGGGTTAGCGCTGACGACTGAGGGTTGGTCAAAGTTCACAGCCTTGTCACCTGATTGGCTGCCGGGGCTGAGGGAGGCCGTGACGGACAGCAGGTGTTTACATATAGAGCTTCTCAGACTGACGCCCGTCTCCCCCTCTGATCCAACAACACACCTCTACGTCTGCAGGTGAGTCACTCTGATTCTGAAAAACATCTCTGCCGCCACATCTTTTACATATTTTTAGCCTTTATGTATGTTTGTTTTTTTAATCCTGAAAATATAATCTAGAATTCACTTTTCTGTGTTGAAAGAGTTTGAGTTGTGTGTTTAATTTGATATCATCAACATTGACAGATCTGTTCACTTGTTTTAAGAAATTTTCATTTCTATTTCTAATTTTAATTTTAAGAAAAAAAAGGATGTTTTGGACTCAATAACTAACAGAAATACTCAAATAGAGATGTGTCTTATCCAAATATAAAGTGAAATATATTGTTCATAGTTTAAAGCTGCTAATAAATCTGATTCTGGGCTCTATAAATAAGACTTGACATGACTTGATTTGATAAGAAAAGGCACAAGACAGAGTTTTTTGCTGGAAAGAATGAAGAAGTATATAGTTGTTTAGTTGTTTTACTTTTATATTTGAATGACTTTTACATTTTTATAGCTAGACTCACAGTAAATACTTGCTTGATAATACAGACTATCCCACTTTGTGAGCACCAGTATTGCTTGTTTTGAAATCTTGATATGAAAGTGATTATATTATATACATTTTCTGTTCAAAAGAAAATGTCTCGGATTAGTTAGTTGATTCCTGAACGATCGAGGAAGGTTTTGTTGGTGTGGTTTTCAGTGAGGACAGGTGAAGCTGAAATCTGAGAAGGTTTTAAAAGGATTTAGAAGCTCAGCAGAATTAAGTGTATTCAAATCTCTGCTTAATTACCTGCACATGGGAGTTTTCTCTCAGAGCTTTGCACCAGAAAGCTTTTCTACTTGGTTTAGACACCAAAACTACTTGAATAAAAACAAAAGTAGAAAGGCAAACATTTCCCAAGTGCAATAGTCAGCAAGGAGAAATAAATGATCTGCCCTTAAATTAACACAGCCTTGGTGAAAATGTTCATGAAGTTGTTCATGTGTTAAGTAGTTGCTACGGTACTTCTGGGATCAGTTGGTTCAAAAATATATACAATTCAAGGACAAAATTATAGATGATAATTGATATTATTAATAGTAATTATTATATTGTGTGCTCTGTATTAATTTACAGTAGTGCAGTTTATGTTTGTGCCACTAGAGTAGGCATCAGAGTACAGCACATGTCCGCCAACATGTTCTGCACAGAGACTTCTGCCTCCGCGCCCAAGTACAGGTGAAGAAAAGGCGGTTTTGTGTGTGGTGCTCACAGAAAACATAAATTAATATTTTTAAAAATGAAATGGCAGCAACTCTGGATAATCCACAGAACACATTTTAAACTGTTTTCACGAGAATTATTTCTTTAGTTGAAAGTAGTTCCCATTATAACGGTGGGCGGTTGGAGGTTCTTGGGGGTATCATTCAACAACGCCTTTTTTGGAAAGCGATGTTGTTGTTGTTGTTCATGCGTGTTTCAGAGCTCCAGCTTTACAGGTCTAGAGCTGGAAAAAAAATGAACATATTTATGTGATGAGCTTCACTTAAATTTGAGTTAAGTTAAATACATCTCGGCTGCTTCTAATGTTACTAAACTAACCAGTAAGTTAGCATCACCGGTGACTCAGAACGGCTAACATTAACATTACTTCGGGATTTGAGCGTTGGTTAGAGTTCACAGGTTCGGTATTAACAGAAAACATAAAGGGAAAATATATTATTTTTGTGGTTTTTTTTAACTGTTATCAAATTTAAAAGGTGTTTTCATGCTTTAGTTAGCTAGCTAGGTGTCTGGAGTGATGTTTGTCGAGCAGAGAAGCGAGCGATATGTGGACCGTTTAAACCACGAAACTGAAAAACAGATTAAACATTATGATTGTTTTGTTTTTTTATCTTAATTTACTTTCTAACCCCTGGAAGTTAATGCTAACTAACAAGTTAGTCCCTCTCATTTATTACCATTAACATTTAAATCCGTTTCTCTGAAAAATGAAAAACTCTGCAGATGTTTATTGAACCCAGAACCTCGTTTTACAAGAGATATTTTCAGAAACTTCAAACACTCCTATAACCAAGTGGATGAAATATGTTCTGCTTACTTTGCGTGATAAAAAAAACTCCCAGCGCCTTTTCAAGCTCCTGTTCAGGTAGCAGGAAATGACTAATGTCCATGCTCTTTTTGAAAAACAATAGTGTTGTTTTGACTCTTTTAACTAATATGCAGAGTTTTCTCTTATTCTGTCTGTCTACTATCTGTACTATGTATTACTGTCATGTACTGATTACACAGGTGTAAGTTGTCCCAGCCCAATAGATGAAAGGAAGACAAGTGAAGAGAGAGGGAGATTCAAACAGTCTGGAGAAGCAGCAGCATTAAAGAACTTCATTAAAAGACTAAATCAGGTTTCCCAAAGTGCAGCTGTAACTGCAAATCAATCCACACAGCATCATATGTCAGTGATTACTCTGTGGGATATAGGTTTAGACATTTTAGACTTGCTAATGTGATGGTTTGTGTTGTTTTGTGTGAATCAGTGCAGTCATACGTTTTGTGCCCAGGTAAAAGACACTGATTACAGACTATTTGTGCCATATCTCGTTAAATATATGTAGTTTTAGTTAAGTTGTATGATGGGCTGTTGAATAACTGAAGTTTTAGTTGTGTTATGGACAACGTCAATTATTGCTGGTGTGTTTTTATGGCACTGCTCGAGGCCTTTCACGTGATAAATAATGAAGTTTAAGCACCCCGATGCTCAAACATTTAATCAGATCAGAGCAAAAACAAGACATCAGGTAATACATTTTACAAGTTTGAAAAAACTGTTTCTGTCTGTTTCTTTCTCTCAGGCGCTGCTGGCTCGCTGCCCTCGATCTGCACCAACATGAGTCCCAAAAATGTTGTTTTCAAGAAGACTAGCAAGGACAAGTCGGTGAGATGAAATAACACCGCCCACCTTACATTCAGTCAGTGTTTGAATTATTTCTGGTGCTCACAGTCCAACGCTTGAGTGTTCGTAAAGTGAGCACAAAATCTGAAATTCAGATTATGTTTTGTGAACATAATTAACTTTCAGGAGACAGAAGAAGTTTCTTTAAAGGATCAAATGGACACTTTAGCCAACACTTCAGTATTGTGTCTAAATTCGAATACTTCCGTTAGTACACTAAGATGTAGTACACTGTGTACATGTACTTACATGTGTAGTGTGTACATTTCAACAGGGTACTGTTGTTTCAAATCGAACTCAGATGTCGTGCACTTACTCGACATGACAATCACAACATTTGACAGGCTTCTTCTTCTTTTTAATGTTGAATTGTGCCCGTGTAGGTCGTTATCACCATCATTTCACCGCAAATGGCACCCGCCAAAGTCTCTGCCTGCTCGTTTGCTCACTTGACTTTATTTCAATTTTATTACAAATGAATGAAAATGAACGTACTTTCACTTCTACTATTCACAAGTTGGAAAATATGTCCGTGGTCCCTCCCCTTCCACTGCATAGCCAAGATGGCGGCTGTCGAGGGGTGGGAAGTGTCCATCTGTGCACTGCATTTTGCCGTACTTCTCAGTGTGAACGCACATTGAGACACAGCAAACATGGGAACCCCTCCACAGGACTTGGCTGCGTTCAGTAACTAAATAATGCAACCAGATTAATTCACAGATATGTTTTTAGATAAAAAGTTGCACAAATCAAACTAAAGGACTCAACTTTGGTTTTATTTCTGCAGCAAGATCACCCTGCTGTTACCTACCAGTTCTTCCCTCACACATTGTTTTTACTCACATTTATTAAATATTAAAGGGGATAACAGTTAACGTGGGTCTTTGAGTGACATTTTCCGTCTCGCTGAGTTTAACTCTGTAAAGCAGTTCAGCTGCTCGCCGGCCTGATCCTAATGAGGTCGGCACAAAGTCACAACAACGTGAGCTGAACTGAGCCTCATGTGTGATTGACAGCTTTAATGTGAGATTACAGGCTCAAACGTTTGTGTTCAATAACCAGATATCTGACCTGAAGGTGTTTAATGGACCTGAAGTCTCTCAGTTGTTGTGTTTTATGTCTTTATCAAAGAAATGGCTCGAAATATTCTGGTGTACAGAAGAGCAAAAGACAACATGGCTGTTTAAGTTTCTCTCAAAATCATGGAAAAGAAGACGAGATAGATCATGTAATAATAATTTAATAATATTATAATTTAATAATAATTTATTCACATTATATAGAGAATAGTGAATGTTTTTGTCAGTGATTTATGAATAGTGTTAGTTGTTAGTTCACTCTGGTCCGGGCCCGTATGCATTTATGGAGTCTTTGTCCTACGTGGACCAGAAGTAGTTATATAATCAGTTAGTTATTAGGTCTAGAAAAATGTGAAAAATATTGATCAGTGTTTCTCAAAAACCCAAGGTGACATCCTAAAATGTCTTATTTTGTCCACAACCCAAAGACATTCAGTTTACTGTCATAAAGGAGCAAAGAAACCAGAAACTATTCATATTTAAGAAGCTGAAATCAGAGAATTTGGACATTATTTCTCTAAAAAAAAGGACTCAGAGACATTTATCAATTATCAAAATAGTAGCTGATTAAATTAATAGTTGACAACTAATCAATTAATCAGCTAATCGTTGCAGATTTGGACATAAAATAATAATATAATAAAAACTCATTTATTCAAGATTCATTCATCTCTGTCAGAGACGACCAGCTGCTTTCACGTATTTTCTGATCTGAGTTTATTTTTTTGGTTTCCAGCCTATATAAAGCATTTAATGTGTTATTGGTTACTTTTACTGAAAAATATGAAACAGCCCTGTTTTAAATCCATTTGATGCCTCTGTGAATCAAACAGTTTGTATTGTTTGTCGCTGGCAGAGGACTTCAGCTCAGTTTATAGTAAACAGGCTCATGTGGTCAGAATATGAGAAAACTCAGAGAGCTGCTGATTCTGCTGCAGTTCAGACTCCCTGTAAGGCGGTAAAAAAACGTAATGTTGCAAAATGTTGGGTCGGCAAATTTACCTCATTTAAAATCTTTTAAATACCAGTTCCTTCTATTTCTGTATACGAACTAACAAACTAAATGCAATACGTCGTCAGAGTTTCAGACTCTTTGATCTGTTCTCCTCCTTTAGGTTGGAGTCTACATGGGGAAAAGAGACTTTGTGGACCACGTTGACTTTGTGGACCCAGTTGGTGAGTTTGCACACTAAAAACCATCAACGCACATCCACCACCAGGACAGTCAATCAGCAGTCACAGTACACTGATGTAATGAAAGGGCCTCAAGGATTTATCAGGGGTCAAAGCCGTTTATCTGCTTGCTGATGCATCAAACCAACAGCTTTACAACTTCATGTATATTCGATGTAAATCTGTTTATTATTCAGTGCAGATTGAATAATTGAGGCTTATAGCCACAAACATTCTGTGAAGGAGTCAGATAAAATCACAAAAGCTTAGAAGTGAAGCGCAAAAAAATTATTATTTAAAAATGATGTAAAAATGCTGTTGATTTCAGTCAAGTTTAAAATAGAAATGCTTCTGTTGGACTCCTCCTGGCAATTTGATTGGATGATGATAGAGAAGTGCCTTTGTAGAGTTTCAGAGATCCTTATTTGTGTCGTCGAGCAGTTGTAGGAAATATTTTGTCACTAAAAGGGTTGAACTCAGTTTAAACTTCATATTTTACCACTGAAAGAGCTTTGACCTTTTTTTTACCACCAGATGGCGTCATCATGGTTGACCATGAGGCTCTGCAGGGGAGGAAAGGTCAGTACTCAAACACACTCTTCATTCACGTCACCCAGCAGGATTACAGGAAGTCCATCCAGCACAGACTTCACCTCGCACATGCTTTCACACATTTCATCATCAGACAGAAATGGAGGTGCTTGTGAGGTGAAAGTTAGAAAGCGCATGATGTTTGAAGGCAGCAGCTGCGGCAGGGTCACAAACAAAAGAACATGAAGTGAGTTTAACTGAATTATATTACTCCTAAAAGGAGCTTTAGGCAGAAAGGAGTTATGGTCCACTCGTATTTGTATCGGGAGGATGCGGCTCCATCGGGTTGGTCTGGCTAATGCTGGACCCAGTTCAGCACACAGATCCAAAAGCATGGCTCTTGAGAATCTAAATTGGCTTATAAAAACAGCGAAAATCAAACAGGGTGGATGTGAAGGTGCAGAACTGATGAAATACTGAGCATACTGACAGATTTGGTATCTTTGAACACTTTGTGATCTCCACTAGCGTTTAAAATAAATTAGATTTGGAAAGACAGCATGAGTTTGTACTGATGTGTCCTTTTAGTGTTGGTTTTAAGGAACTCAGACGCAGTTATTCAGATATTCTGGTCTTCCAATTTTCTCTTATTTTGAAATTTTTCTGTTGCTTCCACGTCCTTCACATGATTCCTTTTATATCTGTGTTCAGTTCTGTGATGAGTTGTACGTATTGTGTCTCTCCTCTGCCCTCCAGTGTTCGTCACCCTGTCTTGCACCTTTCGCTACGGCCGAGACGACATGGACGTGATGGGAATGGCGTTCCGCAGGGAGCTGTACCTGTCAACCCGCCAGGTGTACCCGCCTCTGCAGGACCGCGAGAAGGGAGTCCACACCAGGACACAGGCCAAACTGCTGCGCAAGCTGGGAGACGACGCCTACCCGTTCTTCTTTGAGGTGAGATGTCTTTGACAGACTGAACCCACTGATTAGAGACTCGCAGACAGAGCAGTGAAATACTTAAAATGCAGGTTATATTCATGTATCTATCAGTAAACTGTAGTTAAGAAGAGTTTAGTTTGACTGTCAGTTAAAAATCCTTGTGAAGAAAAACGAAAGAAGAAATGAAGAAACAGAAGGAAAGACAGCGAGATGTTCACTTTAAGATGTGACGATTTTATCACCTCAGATTTGGTAAAGCCTATTTTACATTTGAAGCCAGGTCAGTGCTCCCTATTTTTTATGTGTGAATTACTCAACAACGCATTAAGACGGCTCGCCCACACCAGCCAGATATCATATATGTACATATGTATATATACATGCTAAATCTCTGGAGGACTCTCCACATCCTGTGGGAAACACTGAGGAAAAAGCGCATTTTGACAATTTAATTTATGCAAATGAAAAGAAAAAATTGTGAAAACCTTGTTCGGTGTTCGGGAAAGTTTTTCATTATATTTGGTTTCGGCTTCGGCTGAAGAATTTTCATTTTGGTACATCCCCACCAAATAAGTATAAAATCGCTGGAAAAAGTAATTTGGTGAAATTGAATTTCTGTTCTGAAGTATTGTTCTGTCATCAGTGCACAAAGTGAATCACATTAGTTATTCTCTTTTTGGTTTGGTGCATTTCATTGCATGTGTTTGCACAAAAAGCACCGTGTTAAGTTGAGGCTGATTTATTGATTGACCTTGTGTTTTTTATCTTCCCAGTTTCCTGACAACCTGCCGTGCTCGGTGGCCCTTCAGCCAGCGCCCAATGATGTCGGCAAGGTAAGATCATGACTGAAGAGTTGAACCGGTACTGATTGCATGAACACACAATAGGATGGTGACGCCTCTTCTCTGTCCTTCTGCAGCAATGTGCTGTGGAGTTTGAAATCAAAGCATTCAGCGCTGAGAGCCAGGACGCTAAAATACGCAAACGGTGAGTCTCGGCTAATCTTTAAGTTGCACGGTGGGCATCAACTACAGAACAAAACATCCCGGTAAAAGAAGTCTCACCCAGACTGTAGGTTTACTTGTTTTTTCTTCCGTTTTGTCCAAAAGGAGCACCGTGAAGCTGATGCTCAGGAAGGTCCAGTACGCTCCAGAGGGAGAGGGAGTGGCACCCTCAGTTGAAACCACCAGGGACTTTGTCATGTCGGAAAAACCACTTCATGTCAAGGCCAGTCTGGACAAAGAGGTGGGTTGCTTCACAATTATATTCAGTTTCACAAACAGGATGTAGTGCATTTTTGTTTCAGTCATGCTAAAGACACTCAGCAGCCATCAGTCAGTCAGTACTTTTTTTTCAAAATCAGCTGCAGCAAAGTCTAAAATCTCAGTGGATCAAAGTCGTCATGGCTCGTGCACTTTATTCACACGTAACGTGTCACAACTCTGTCTCAGAAACTCTCAAACTCTCTGTTTCCAGATATACTACCATGGTGAGACCATCAAAGTGCACGTCAGCATCACAAACAACTCCAACAAAACCATCAAGAACATCATCGTCTCTGGTAAACATGATGCTCACTGCTCACATTATTTTCATTGTAAGAGGAAGGACATTTATTTCTTCATGCTCACACTGCAGCGTGGAGATGTTTTAGAAGGGATCTAAATGTTTGACCTTTTGTTGAATGTCAAGTAAAATCAGACCTTGGTGTAAATGTAGCCTCGTTTCTTCATGTCCTCCTCAGTGGATCAGGTCTCCAACGTGGTGTTGTACTCCAACGACAGCTACGTCAAATGCGTGGCCATCGAGGAACCGGGGTACGTGACTGTTCAGATACAGCGTCTTTTTTTTATCCTGGACAATTCACACAACACAATGTCAGACTTTCCATTGCAACAGGATACAGTTTAATTTCTCCTTTAGTAGATGTTGGTGTTTTCGATGTTTCAGATGTGTGTGTGTGTTATTTTACAAGAACAAAACCTTTTAATTAATTCAGTTCACTTGTATTTATATTGCCCTAGGGCTGCTCGATTACGATTTTAGCTTCCCACAATTAAATGAACATGATCGACTGCGATATCGGCATTTAAATTGCGTGCTCTGCTCATGGAAAAATCTGCTCCACATCAAATCAAGTGCTTCCTAAACTTACTGCCAAGGGAGCGATTTGGCTATGCGCACTCCCTCCTGTTGCTGCAGTCCAGAGTAGCCCGCAAAGTCCACGAGTCCACATGCATCCACTGCGCCAGAAGTGTGCCAGATCAAACTGGGCAGGAAGTCAGACAACAATAAACACTGTTAAAACAGACAGCCTATCTACATACCCTACTTAATCATAGAAAAAGCACAAAAGACTAGCACTGATTGCAAAATCAACAAAATCTAAACATGTCATGCCGGACTCAGTGGACTTTCCAAGTAAAAATGTATTTATGTTTTGCTTCTAGGAGATGATGCATTTTAAAGAGGTGGTGTTCTGCTCATTTTCAGGTTCAAAATCTTATTTAGGGGTTGTACCTGAACAGGTTTACATTTTTTTTGTCATACTGCACATTGCTGCAGCTCCTCTTTTCACCCTGTGTTGAAGGCTTCGTTTTAGCTGTGGAGTGATACATCTTGTCTCTAAATGATCTTTGTTGGGAGTTGCACATGTCCTAGCTAAGGACTACTAGCCAATCTGAACCAGAGAAGGGCAGGTCAGCGGAAAGACTGCAGCTTGGGTTCAGCTGTACATGTTGCCGACCAGCTTAGCAACATGGACTGGAGCGAGAGTTTCAGAGTAGTGTGTGAGTGCAGAGTTTTCTGTGGGAGATGGGAACTCCCTTTTTCACTTTGCAAACCTGTTACATGCACAAAAAAGATATATAGGTCAATAAAGGAGAGGGGAAAAAGCCAAAAAGCAGAATACCACCTCTTTAAGGACGAGTCTTATTTTGATGCAAAGATTTGTACATTAGCAGAAATGCAGCACAACATGGATGTGAAAGCAGTTGCCTGTTTTTTTAAATTTGAAATTGCAAAACAAAATCAATGAATAATTAATAATTAATAATTAATATACTGTAGGCCATTAACGTGGAGCCCCAGTTCATAACAGAAGCTATCTTATTGCACTTTTCATATGGACCAGGTCTAGACCGTTGTCTTTGTAATAAACATAATAATTAAGACCATATCTTGTCTATGTACAGTATGATACTGACTGTTAAATGCTGTGACACTGATGTGGATTTGTTTAACTGTGGTGTAGTGCGTGATCAAGAATTTTATTCAAATTTTAAAGCAACTGATCAAAAAGCTACAAAACAAGTCCTGTGAACATCAAAAATCAACAATGGATATTCACACAGTCTTTAATACTCACATTACATAGAAACATACTTTTCTCACTTCCCTCAAGTCGAATCCAGCCATGCAGATAGTTTTGGTTTCATTTGTCCAGGTTGTGAGGTTTCTATGTCAGTGTTGTCTGCTGCTGCCCCAATACAACAGAGCTGAATGCAATTTAGTTTTTAAAAACAAGCTAAATTGCATTTGCTTGTATTGGGGTGGCAGTGGATAACACAGAGGGGCGGCAATACCCACTCTACACCTGGCATCAAAATGTGTCCCGTATCTAGACATGATTTTTAATGTCATTACATTTACATCTGCTTTTAATGTGTGTCTCCAGAGTCCACATTGGGGGGGAAATTGGTTTTGAAATCCACGTTGATGACGCCAACACATTTAACACTTACTGAGTAACAAATCCATCAAACACATTTATTATGTAGATGTATGTTTTATTTTTTGTTTATTTGTGTGAACAGACTGCGTTATTAAAACGAGGTTAGAAGCACGGGCTGGAGACGAAGTTGTGATTTCTGTTTAACAAAGCTTCATCAGTTTGGAATGAAACTCAGCTTCCAAACCCGGCTGACAAAGCTCCGCCCCTTTGCCTGACTCTCGAGACACAACAGGAAGCTGTTGTTTTCTGCTTTCTGTCTGTGAGACACACACTTGAGAGACGGATTATGAGATTCACGATCCGACCAAAACACTGAGGTACTGAACAGGCGGAGCTCTGGGAATACTGAGGTCCAGGGATACTGCAACTTCAACCTGCTGTTTACTTCAACAAACAGACTGAAGGTGAAAGCAATTTTGTTTTTCTGGTGAAGGGAGTGGCACAAGGACTGACTGTCTTTGAGTTTGAGCTGCCTGCTGTGATTTCTGCTTCACTCTCAGACAAAATGGCTTCCAGACTGGAGAAGGATCTCTGCTGTCCTGTCTGCCATGACTTCTTTAAATATCCTGTCATCCTGTCATGTAGCCACAGCTTCTGTAAAGGCTGTCTGCAGAGCTGGTGGAGAGCAAGTGGAAGTAAAGAGTGTCCAGTTTGTAAGAGAAGACATTTAAAGGACTTCATACCTCCGAACTTGGCTTTAAAGAACCTGTGTGAGAGTTTCCTGCAGGAGAGAGATCAGAGAGCTTCAGAGGCTCTCTGCAGTCTGCACTCTGAGAAACTCAAACTCTTCTGTCTGGACCATCAGCAGCCAGTTTGTGACACCTGCAGAGGTTCAGAAGAACACAGCAACCACAGATTCAGACCCGTCGATGAAGCTGCACGACAACACAAGAAGGAACTTCAGGAAACTCTGGAGACCTTAAAGGAGAAGTTAAAGGTTTGTGAACGAGTTAAAGTGGAGTTTGATCAAACAGCAGAACACATGAAGGTCCAGGCCCGACACACAGAGAGGCAGATTAAGGAGCAGTTTAAGAAGCTTCAGCAGTTTCTAGAGGAGGAAGAGGAGGCCAGGATGGCTGCACTGAGGGAGGAAGAGGAGCAGAAGAGTCAGATGATGAAGGAGAAGATGGAGGCTCTGAGCAGAGAGATAGCAGCTCTTTCAGACACAGTCAGAGCCACAGAGGAGGAGCTGAGAGCTGAAGACGTCTCATTCCTGCTCAACTACAAGGCTGCAGTGGAAAGAGTCCAGCAGCGCCCCCTGCTGGATGATCCACAGCTGCCCTCAGGAGCTCTGATAGACCAGGCCAAACACCTGGGCAACCTGGCCTTCAACGTCTGGAACAAGATGAAGGACATGGTCTCCTACGCTCCTCTGATCCTGGACTCAAACACCGCTGGTCCAAGACTCGTCCTGTCTGAAGATCTGACCAGTGTGAGACGAGGAGAGAGACGGCAGCTTCCTGACAATCCAGAGAGGTTTGACTTGTACACGTCTGTCCTGGGCTCTGAGGGCTTTAACTCAGGGACTCACGGCTGGGATGTCGAGGTCGGAGACAGTACGGACTGGTCTCTGGGTGTGTTGGCAGGGTCTGTCCAGAGGAAAGGCACCATACTGTCTGGATTATGGACCATATGGTTCTGTGATGGTAAATTCAGAACCTTCTCCACAACACATCGATCCACAGTTCTTGGACTGAGGAGGAAGCTCCAGAGGATCAGAGTGAATCTGGACTGGGAGGAAGGAAAGCTGTCGTTCTCTGATCCTGATACAAACACACACATACACACCTTCACACACACTTTCACTGACAGACTGTTTCCATATTTTAGCACTTGGAATGAGCTCCCACTGACTGTGTTACCAGTGAAGGCCTCCAGCGTCTCCAGCGATCATGTAAACGAGTCCTTAAACCCTGCTCCGGCCTCCAGAGGTGGGCTCTGATTTATTCTCCTGAACCCGCGTCGCCCCTGGAGTCAGAATCCTGGTTGGAGCGTCTGTAAATCATCTTAGGACTGTAATCTGTCGTCAAACTGACCTCTGTTCTCTGTCTCAGCTGTATTTTTAAAATAAAAATAGGTGCGGATAACAACAGCAAACATGCATGCTGTATAACTGGGTGTTGTGGCTTAGGGGGTAGAGCGGGTTGTCTGTTAATTGGAAGATCGGCGGGTCAATCCCCTGCTCTTCATGTCGTAGTGTCCTTAGGCAAGATACTGAACCCTGCATCGCCCCTGGCTGTGAATATTAGTTTCTGTTTGAGCACTTAGGCTCAGTGTGTAAAAGCGCTTTGAGTTCGCAAAAGACAAGAAATTTACATGTTTTTATGAATCTATAATGATGCCTTGTAAAGCAAAATATTATTCACTTTTTAAATGTTTTAATAAAGGGATATATTTGGACAGAAAACTACAAACCCTCGCTTTTTGTGTGTTAAAAAAACAAATCAAATTTTATATTCCTGTGAAAGAAATGTTCATTATACCCTTATTTAACCAAAAAAAAGTCCCAGACATTAAAGATCTATTTTTGAAGAGTGTCCTGGCCAAGACAGGCAGCAGCAGCAGAATTAACAAGGTTGCAGAAATCAAACTGATAATATTGTACAATAGGGATAAAATAAGTTACCGTTTTCATTTCATCAACCACAATTCATCAACAAGGATCAAACAATCAATCAAACACAACGTCTACAGACAGAATTTCTAGCCTGCAAGTCATTTAAAAGTTCTTTAAAAGCAACCAGTGAAACTGGCTCCCAAAGACTCAACATTTTGCAGCTGATTCCAAGCAAAGGGAGCCGCATACTTAAACGCCCTTTTACCCAATTCAGTTGTGACTTGAGGGACAGACAGTAGTAATCAGTCCCAGGAAGAAAAACAGTATCTTCCCGTACTTTTGATCCGTACCTCCCATACTCTACTTGAAGCACAGAAAGAACAGCCTTATAAACAAGAGTTGCCAATGATTGAGTCTACAGGTGGACAATGCAGACCAACTAATCCGAGCAAACAAGGAGCAGTGATGAGTAAGGGGTCTAAAGTTTGTGAACCTCAGCTCCGTGGTAAACAGTATCCAACACTTTAAGGCTTTGAATGGATGGATCGACATAGTCCAGCACTGACATAAAAGTGGCAGCAACAAGTCTCCTTTTGGCCTCAAAGGAAAACCACAACTTGTTGAAATTAAATGAATCGGAGTAAAATGTGTGCTTTCTTTGTGCTTTTTATAAAATGTTTCTAAGACACTTCCTGATTTCACTTCCCTGAATCTTAAACCTTCCTCTGAGAACTGAGTTTCGGAGCCTCACAGTGAGCCGGGGGGACATTTAAGATAATCAAATCATGGAGCGTATCCTTTCCTGGAGTTGTTGGTATTCCTCTTGATTGTCATATTCTGTGTATCGCTGATGTGTCATGTGCATCTGTGTCTTCATGTCTCAGGGATTCGGTTTCTCCTGGGGCGACCCTGCAGAAAGTCTACAAGCTGCTGCCTGTGCTGGCCAACAACCGGGAGAGGCGGGGCATCGCTCTGGACGGCAAGCTGAAGCACGAAGACACCAACCTGGCATCATCAAGCATGTGAGCAAACAATCAGAGATACAGCCAGCCGTGGAACCAGTAGTTCCTGCGTGGCACTAAATGAATGTGTTCTGATTAGACTGGCTAATTTAGATAATCTTTTTCTTCTCTTTCAGTATCAAAGAAGGTGTGCTGAAGGAAGTTTTGGGAATCATGGTTTCATACAGAATCATGGTGAAGCTCATCGTAGGAGGGTCAGTCGCATCTGTGTGTGTCTGTCTCTCACTGTGTGATAACGGTCATGCACATTCATTGTATGCCGCTCTGTGCATCTTTTTTTAAGATGACACGTACATGTTGAGTGTTTCTGGATGCTTCAGAGAGTTAGCAGCTGAATCTGCAGCTTTATGGAGCTTTATAGAGACTTTCACTTCGTTGCTTATCTGTCCAGATGCAGCTCAGTCACTCGTTTGTGAGAAGGCGATTAAGATAGCCACACCTAAATTTGGAGTGCACTCGTATTCAAGCCTTTACAGTAAGTGAAACGGCCCAGAGCGAGCTGACAGGCAGGTTAGAGACTTGCCTTGACTATCCTGTCAGTTTCTCTCTTTACAAAGACAAGTGCTGCAGTATGAGAGTCCTGCCTGAAGAGAGGCTGTGAAGTCTTCATGTTACGCCGTACGAGAACCACATACAACATTATTTATCAAACTGGGTCGGACTTGATGAATTTAGCAGGAGGAGGAAACACGTGTGACAACGTCTGGTTTTCAAAATAAGGCATCTATACTGGATGAAATAAGATTAATTGGATTATATTCACAGAAAGTATAAAACATATTACATGTGTCCATTTAAATAAAGATATTAATCCCCACCGTCCACTACAGGCTCAGCAGCAAACAGCCGATGGGCAGAGTTAGAGAGCAGCTGGTGAACATTGTGCTGGTGGAGACCAAACACAGAGCTAACAGAGAGACAAAACTGGACTCACCTTATCAGGTGGTACAAACAGGACTCCACAAGAAAGATCATGTTGCTCTGTAGCTGCTGCAGGTGGAAATAAGCAGCTGTTCAACACACCAACTTAAAACGTGATGATCTGTTAACGTTGTGTTCACAGCAAAGTGGACAAAAAAAAAAATCAGTTATTGCATCTTTAACTTAGTTGAGATATCTTTGACTTTAAACTCGCTGCCTCCTGACTGTTTCTATCTTTCAAATGTTCAGTGTTTCAAATGTTTATCTAAACGTTCAACATCATTTGTTCCATTTTTCATCTCTGCCACGCTCACAGGATGATGGGATCAAGGTGGGTTGATGTCTACTTGTTTTCATCAGTAGTAGTTCAGTTTATGTATATTTAAGTTTACAGCCATGGCTGCCACAAGTCTACTTCTGTATTTTACTGGTTAAAAACTGCCTCTAGTGAAAAGTACATTATTGTCTCCACATCAACAACTCAATCAATTATTGCTCAGTCCTAGATTTACAGTAGTAATCTTGAGTTGTAAGTTCTAATCATGGACGTCGTTCAAATGATGATTGTTTTGGTTTGTGTTGCAGTGAGGTCGGCCTGGAAGTTCCCTTCAAACTGATGCATCCTAAACCTGATGCAGGTACGGAAATATAACTCACTGTGTGTGTGTGTGTGTGTTATATGGTAGCTGTAAAACATCTGTAGCAAAACATTGATTCTTTGTTATTTAGATTCCCCCAAAGCATCTACATGTAACGAACGACACTATTTCTTTAAAAAATACTCTATGTAACAGATGCATTCATTTATCTCTAGAAATGTGTTCATACATGACTTGTGTCCACATATTCAGTGTTTCCCATTAATGAACGAGACCGTGGCACAGTCTAATTTGTTCCGCCATAGTTTCAAAATGGACCGAAAATATTTTTACACATCTCATAACAACATTACAGACCTCTAACGTTGTGTTTTGTGGGCGCTGCTGTGAGCTCGCACACTCACACCTTTTGGCATCTGACTTGAGACAACCACTTTTCTTTTGAGGTAACTACGGTAATGTTAACGGTCTGTTTCTGACTCATCTGTGAGAAGGCGATTAAGCTAGCCGCACCTAAATTTGGAGTGCACATGTATTCAAGCCTTTACGGTAACTGAAATATATATATATATATATTTCAGTTACCGTAATATATATATAATATAGTATAAATATATTACATGTGTCCATTAAGCATAAAAATAAAAAACAACAACAACAAAACTTACTTTTTTATTTTTTGAATTAGAGTTGATGGAAAAACATTAAATAGATTTGTTGACTTTTGCTGCTGTTTCATCACCATTTATAGCTCTACAGTGGGTTTATGATCAAATAGTTTACTAGAGCACAACATTGTTTACAAGAGTGCAAAGTTCTTTATAGATAGCTTCTTAATTTTGCACCAAATTAATGCATTTAACTTCAAAATGTACAACATTTTCTTACGGGGGACCATGCCACCCAGACCCCCCGAGAGGGTCCGATGCCCCCCCACCATAGTCTCTGAAAATCCTGTGGGAAACACTGATATTAATAGTTGGGTGAAAGAAAGTCGACCAGGTGTGAAACTGAATCTAAACCTTTTTATTTTTCTTTATTGCTGCCAACAGTGAAGGAGAGGTAAGATGGTTTTCAAAGTAAAAAACGTCCCTTAGGGTTGTGAATGGATGAATGAATGGATGAGCTGGAGCGACTCAGAAATCAGACAGCAGGTGTACTCTTTTATGCCTGAGGACGAACATTCTTGTGTTATTGTGAAACATCCTCTGTCTGTTGTTCACCCAGGGACAAGATCATGTTCCAGGATCTGTTATCACTTCATCAGCTCTTTTGTTCGGCCGTCTTCCCTCTATTAGCTCTATTAGCGTTTACATCTCTGTGTCTTCATCAGCAGGATCAGCTTTTATTTCTTGTTTCTTCATGCCCTTTTCTGTTTTACAATTTGTTAGTTTAACTGTTTAAAAACAGTTTAGATGAGTAAAAAGGAAAAAATCTGCTCAGGTTAAAGTGCAGAAGTATTTTTTGTTAAATTTGTCAAAAATCTCTGTACATCCTGAAAAAAAGAGAAAATAATCTGTGTGTGTCAGAGAACTGCAATGTTTTGGATTGATGTCTGAAAGGAGGACGCGCTTGAAAATTTACACAATCTATCTGTGTCTTGGTAATTCCTCCCACATTACATAGCTTTAAACTTGGGTGTTGATATAGAGGGAATTACACGACCCAGCTCAACGTCCCAAGTTGACAGAAAAGTCGTGTTTTGTCCATGAGTTTGGCGGACAGACGGGTCTACCCATGAGCCTCGGCTGCTGTTGCCAATCAGAGCTGTAGCATCCAAAATTGAAGAGAATGAAAGTGAATTTGTTAAAGCAGCATATGTTGTCTAGAGTTTTAAAGTTGTAGTCTGTTCCCAGCTGCACCCCTACTCTGTCTGTATTCACCTTCATGTTATAGATCCTGTGTTGTGGCACTGCCAGCAGCTGACAGTGAGTGCTAGCAGTTTCTCTCTAACGCTGCTGTTTGTTCGGTCTGTAGTGAGGTGGAGGAGGAGATGCAGTTCCAGGAGTTTAAGCGCTCCTACCTGAAGGGGATGATCGATGACGATGATGAAGAGGGAAACGTCTCTGGCGGTGACGACAATGCGCCAAAAGAGAAATAGAGGACAGAGTCAACAGGACAGCGGCTGTAGCAAAGAGAATTTGTGCTAGAAAAAAGTAGAGACTTGAAAGAAGGACCATACCTGTGATTTTTAATGTTTTGGGTGTGCTTCACAAAGCAGAGGCAGAAAGGCTCCAAAACAAAATGCTGAAACAGCCCTCATAAACCATCATCTTATCTTTCTGCTAGTCTTTTAAGACGGTTGCTTAGTTACACATCCAGCAGACACAGCAGTTGTGTGTGTGAATCTCATATTAACTCTGCTTTTACTTCTGGTGTGGTCTTCGCCAATTCTCGAGGAAAAAATGTCTCTTTAGCTGCTAGCTGTTCCACTTTCATCACTGGATACAGTCCTTAACTTTGCTGGAAACGTCTTTCTACAGTTTTATACATGGATACAGCTGCAGGACCACGTAGAGCTGCAGAGTTGGTGTTTATTCTCTGTGGGTTCTGAACTACGAGACACTTGAACATTCATTTCTATCCTCGTGAGCATCTGTTTGCAGCCCAAAATTTAGGATGACGAGTTATATTTTACTTTATGAATGTGTATACAAGGACTGTGCAGCCCTGTTAACACGCAGACTGCAGTTTGTGAAAATGAGTGTTAAATAAAATGATTTGGAGATTATTAATGTTTGCTAGCTAACATGCAAAACCACTGATATGGTCCTTCAGTAGAGTAAGTGATGAATCCTTGTAACGTAATTTGTGCTTTTCAATTAAAGCAGGTAACTTCTGACTGAACTTATCTGAAGTAATAATGTTCATTTTTTACAATCAGAGAAGAAGTGCAAAGTTTAATTATATTTGAATATTGTCAACTACTATACAACTAATATATGAATTTGTTTTGTTTGCTGTAAATGTTATATCACAACTCAGACGGCTGAGTTTCCTGCTGGCCCTGCGCCGGAGGAAATGATCAGACTGATGCGATCCATCGGTTGTGTTGCTGTAAGACTGCTGCTGATGAGTTCAGATTTACTGTAGCAACGTTCATGTAAAAGGCTAAATCTTGTTTGGCATTTAAAGGTGATGTGATGCTCAGTGCAGTTTGCTCTCTGTGACAATAAAAGCTGATTGATCTATTCGTGCACGAGGTTGCAGCTCCATGTGGGGGGTCACTTGATGTACAGGGGGTTTGTGGGACATTTTTACAAACCATTAATTTATATTTTGTGGTTCTTTGTTCTATATAATTATTTTTGTCAACACACCCCATGTGCTAACTCAAACCAACAACACATTAGTCCGTCTCTCTGAGTCTCTGCTGAAGAAACTGCCAAACACAAGCCTCGGGAGAAAGTTAACTTTTAATTTCAGACAAAAACCACAATGCACAGCAAACCGAGGCACAAAGACATGTGACAAACAACTACATCTCAGCGAGGGCTGATCACTGTCTGTATCATCCAATCACACGTCCAAAAATCATCTTAAAGTGTCCTTTTATTGGGTGTCACAAGTTACTCTTAATCACATTTAAAGGGGAATTTTGCAGTTACCTAAACCTTCATTTGCAGTTTTCTTTGTTTGCACTTGTTTCCTTCACAGTGCCTTTCCTTAACGTGCTCGCCTGCTTCTTCTCCGTTTAAACCTCTGTAACTAATCAAAGCTCTGTCTCAACAAACGTATTCTAACGCACAGTGATGATTGACATATTTACATTTTCTATCAAAAAATAAAATTTGAATAATATCTCTGCAGCTAAATCGGCGCTCTAATTAAAAGCAGGTACAGGAGAGAGATTACTTATCTAGATCAAAGTGCTTGATGGATTGCATTATGTACCTGGCTTGCCTTTGAAAACTGGTTATCCCACACTTGATTCTTAAACAGAAAAGTCAGTTTCACAAGATAAGCGTTACTAATAGTTTTGACTAGTACATATATAACCCAGGTAGCCAGCTGAACTGGTTCAATTGTGGCGTAGATAGCTGTGTTCTGGCACGGAAAAATATTTAATGTGACCCAGAAAGGTCTGTCAGACCTGGCTGGGTATTGGGTGTAAGGCTTGGGACCAATTTGGCGCCAGTGTTGGCACCAGGCATCAAAGCCGCTAATTCTGACACGTCATTTGTTAAGATCGACATGCAGTTTGAACTATAACACTACTAAGTCTTCCAAATAATAATTTTTTAATAGGATTCAGCTTTGATTGTTTTAAGTATTTCCTTGGCCTCTTTGTTAAAATTGCCGGATTTTCATTCCATCCACACTGTAAAGTATGTCCAGTCAAAAGGCTGTACGAAGGTCTGAATCTGCGGTAAAGTTTGTTAAGCTCTACTTCAGAAACTGCCGCTTTTGTCTGAAATAAAATTATTAAAAAAAAATGTTAAAGGAGTCTTGAACGAAGCAGACGCTTTGGTTGCAATTTAATATATTTCTTTTCTCAAGCATCAAACTTTATCCATCATCAACATTTGAAAAGGCAAAATGATAAGCGCTCTACAACTAAACTGCAGCAAGTGGATCTCGGGGATTAAAAATAAATTTACTCCGAGGATGCAAAGGGCTTTTAAAACAATTTACCATTAAAGCAGATCTGAACTTCTACAGTCAACTGAAAAAGCTTGGCTATCTAGCCATTCATTACATGTTTCAAGTGCATGATCAAATGCATTTGTCAAGCTGGCGCATGTAAGCCTACATGCATTTTCATATTTCAGTGAGTGTTGAATCATAAGAGTGAATTTATATCCACATTTAAAGGGGGGTATTTTACTGCTTATTTTCTGTATCGTATTTGTTCTTAATTTTTCTAATTAGTCCTAATTTCATCAAATATCTTATAGTTTTTCCCAAGTGCTTTTTTTAAGAACTCCAATACAACAGGCTGCTTTTAGTTTATTAACACACACTGCAAATAATAAATAAATAAAAGAAATATAATTCTGACCTGATGATGGTATGAATAGTCAAGGATCACCAAATTTCTTGGCCATTCATCCAATATTCGTTTTCACGCCCAAAAATCACAAATGTCAATCTCAAGTCGAGTAGCATGTCTTTTAAAACATGGATTTTTGTTGTTTTTTATTTCATTTTTTGCAGTGTGATAACATCAATCTTATTGGCTCTTAATTTGGCTGGCCCCTCCCCTCATCTCCTACCAGATTTAACGACCAGCGACCATGTCTAGAATGATCCAGATTCAGTCCTCCAGTGGTAGAGGTTGAATATTGAAAATCATCACCTCCTTCCTTCTTCATCAGATACCAACAGAAAGGAGAACCACAGTAACTTCTGCTTTTCTACAATACCCCTCCTTTAAAACTTGCAGTTATAAATACAGTGTTTGATTGGCTGTATGTGGATGCTCGTCTATAACTGTGCTGTGACTGACTGACTGGAGCCTACAATGGATGAGGAGGGGTGGTGGTGGGGGTGGGAGGACCGTCCCAGCTGTAATCATAATGAGGTGGCACCACTGGGAAGAAATTTCGTCCCACAGGCAATTCGCAGGAGTCGGGGTGCAGCAGATACCCGGAGAATGTGCTGGTTCTCTCGACGTCGGTGACTATGCCGTTGTTTAAAGAGTCCTTCACCTGCAGCCACACTCTATCTGCCATGTTGAGGTGGAGGACAATGGTGTGACTTATGGTGGCCTGGCTGGTACTTTCTGTTGTTCTGACTATAGGGTAGAAGTTGCGGAACAGGCCGACCTTAAGAGGTGTACCGACGACAGCCAGGTTGTAGGAGAAAATGTAGGTGCCATTGATGGGGGCCGTGTACATGCCACTGAGTGGGTTGAAGTGCCCCTGCTGGTTGGTAATGATTTGTGGGAAAAGAACAGGTGTGTTAGGAGCAGGGAACGACTGGTTGATGCTTGCGGTGAATGCTGATTGGATTGCTGGAGAGCAGGGCCCGGGTGGCCCTATGAGACCCATGCTGCCCTCATGGCCTTTTAGCCCAATGGGGCCCGGTACACCCTGGGCACCAGTGTCACCTTTGTCTCCCTTAGTCCCCTTTTCTCCTGGTCTCCCATCACTGCCTTTAGCCCCATCTGTGCAGTTACATACCCCCTGCACACCTTTATCTCCCTTCTGACCATTCAGTCCGGGGTCGCCGGGTTTGCCCAGGTCACCCTTATCACCCTTAAAACCTTGGGGTCCCGTAAGTCCCGCAACCCCAGGCAGGCCCCGGGCTCCGGCTGGTCCAGGGGTACCTTGTAGACCCGGTGGACCCGGCATAGTCTCGCAGGAGGCAGGGCATGTGCCGGTTTCTCCCTGGGGGCCTTGTGCACCTGCTGGGCCTTCCAGTCCACGGTCCCCTTTTTCCCCTGGAAAACACATCAAGAAAATTTGCATTGCATTTTCACAAAGTCAAGTGGAAAAGTATGAAACCCCTTTACATCTTAAGCTCCCCCCCCCCCCCCCCCCCCGTCATTTCAGTGAAATATCCTAAAACAACATACCATGTTTAAATTTAAGTGACAAAGTGTGGATGGGTCAACCTGTCAGACTTTGGGAGATCACCATTCACTTCCTGCTTCCTAAAAACAATCAGTGTTGGTTTCTTTTAACCATGACCAAGGTTGTTCCCCAGACTTACCTTGTAGATATTATTGTAGTTTCATTGAAGGTCTCCTAAGGTTAATGGGGTAATTCTCTCAACTCATACAATAATCTTTCTCTGATGTATTTCTTGTGCTTAACCCTTCCAAACCTTAACCATAGCCAAGTTCAAGTAAATCATAAAACTTTATTTTTGAAACAGAGTGATCTCACCAGACCTTTGAAGCCTCGCTCGCCCTTCACCCCGGTGAAACCGACAGCACCCGACTGCCCCTTCTCCCCCAAGTCTCCCTTCTGACCTGTAACGACAGACATAGACAAAAATTATTAGAATAGAATGAAAAGAAAGATTTGATGACCTCGACTAATACACGCTAAATTAATGTTTCACTAAATGAAAAGCAATGATTCCTAAGTCATATCTGTTGGCCTGTTTGAAGATCCATTTGAAGATGGATCCATTAGCAGCAAAATGAGAGACACATTTAGATTGAATTAATAAAATATTTATTAGAATTTATTTTTACTTTGTTGGTTTCAGAATATAAATTTTCAGCTGTTTTGAAAAATGTATAGATGCACAATGTGCTAAGCTAGGCTAAATAAGCCCTGGACCGTTCTCTGTGATGGACACCCAGAGATGAAACTGATATATATCTTTGCATCTATCATTATAATGTTGGTGTGTATGGTATTATTATTATATTATTATTTTGTCCACCCCCATCACTGGACTCTGTACAGTGACAGTGGTGAGTCCAAGCTAGCATGTTCAGGTCCAAACTGCAACAAGACTGAGGTTCTGTTATATGTGTTATCATTTCAAGTGCAGTGAAAGCAAGTTCTTCACCCTTCATCCCCTGAGGGCCTGTGAATCCTGGACGGCCTTTGAACCCCATCATTCCTCTTGTTCCAGGACTCCCAGGTGCACCTGTTCAAAGATTACAGTCAGGTCAGTTTTCACAAAAAGCATGCAGACGTTTTTTTATAGTTTAAACCACAGTCCACACTTTTCCTGGAGAAATTTTTATCAAACACTATTGGACTAACTTGAAAAAAGTCATCTTTGACAAGAAAACACAAGATTTAATGTTTCTACAAAAAGATATTGCTTCCTTAAAGTATGTCTCAGGCAAGTGAGAAACAAACCCACAGGTTTCAAAAGCAGCCTTAAAGTGATCCACATACCTGGAGGGCCCCGGTCTCCCCGGTCTCCTTTGGGCCCTGCAGTGCCCTTACACTGCGAACAGAGGCAGAAAAAAGGAATCTGGTCGATAGGTGGTGGTACCGGTGAGTTCATCAGAATGTCACAGATCGCCATATCAGGAATGGGGGGCATCCCCGGGTTAGTGCCCCCGATTATTCTGTAATTGTCAGAGTTGTGAGTCATGTTGCCACTGGGTGGCCCCTGTTCTCCTGTGGGGGGCATCCCCGGGAAGTTGGGCCCGAACACCCGGAGCTTCTCGAAGTCATCTGTCATGTTGACGCCGGGTGGCCACTCTTGGCCCACGGGTGGCATCTGAATGGGGGCCGTGCGGTGAACAGGTGACCAGGGAGACGTTTTGTCTGATGACTCAGACATCTCAAGTGTCTCAGACGACTCAGATGAATTTGCCGACTCAAATGAATGTGACAAATCAGACGACTTTGACTTCTCAGATGACTCAGATGACTCAGATGACTCAGGTGAATGTGACCTCTGAGACGGCTTTGACTTCTCAGACGACTCAGATGACTCAGATGACTCAGGTGACTCAGATGACTCAGATGACTCAGGTGAATGTGACCTCTGAGACGACTTTGACTTCTCAGACGACTCAGATGACTCAGATGACTCAGATGACTCAGGTGAATGTGACCTCTGAGACGACTTTGACTTCTCAGACGACTCAGATGACTCAGATGACTCAGGTGAATGTGACCTCTGAGACGACTTTGACTTCTCAGGTGACTCAGATGACTCAGATGACTCAGGTGAATGTGACCTCTGAGACGACTTTGACTTCTCAGATGACTCAGATGACTCAGATGACTCAGGTGAATGTGACCTCTGAGACGACTTTGACTTCTCAGACGACTCAGATGACTCAGATGACTCAGATGACTCAGGTGAATGTGACCTCTGAGACGACTTTGACTTCTGAGACGACTTTGAATTCTGAGACGACTTTGACTTCTGAGACGACTTTGACTTTTCAGATGACTCAGATGACTCAGGTGAATGTGACCTCTGAGACGACTTTGACTTCTCAGACGACTTTGACTTCTCAGATGACTCAGATGACTCAGATGACTCAGGTGAATGTGACCTCTGAGACGACTTTGACTTCTCAGATGACTCGGAGGAATTTGCCGACTCAGATGACTCAGATGCAGTTGAGTCAGGCCATTGGTAGGTGTTGGGGTCCATGGTGGAGCCCTCCTCTTCGCTGAACTCCACGGAGGTGCTGTTTGGTAGCAGCATGGCTGAGCAGAGGGAGGTTAGGACGAGGAGTCCCAGCAGCCTTGACAACATCTGGAGGAAGAGGAGAATGGTGGGAGCCCAGAGGAAGAAGGTAAGATAAGTAAGTGGGAAAAATCTGCATTTTGCAGAGTGTTCAGTCTGTTTGTCAATATTACTTTAAAAAGGTTTTTAAAAACTTTCAGTTGAGTGAAATCACTTCAGTCTGTTACAGCATACACTTATCTCTGGATATACATTTGACACAAACTGGACTGATTTGAGTAAGGGGCATGCAAAATAATATATTTTTTCTCCCTGCTAAATACATGGGATGTGTAAATAGAATTGGGTTTTGATTGTGAATAGCATTTTAAAATTTCTTTAAGAATTGTGTATTTCAAAAAAATAAAATGAAATTTGGATTATAGATAAAGGTAAATTGACTAGCTCATGTGTGGCAAAGGCCCTGCATTTAATTAAATTAATAGCCCGGGCTTTTATTTGCTTCAATCCCTGAACTCACCAGTGTTGGGCAAGTTAGGAGTAAGGAGTATGGTTTTTACAAAACATAACATCTGTTAACGCCACCGGCTGAAATAAAAAAAAATAAAGCAGGTAAATCCTGACTTTTGACTACTGTTTTTCTGCACATGTAGTCTACTTAATATCAGGATTTAGTATTTTTACAAATCGTTATGTTGCTTAACGCCACTCTCTCCCGACGAGTTTCTTTCCGTAAGTTTCACGTCGCTGTGCTGCTTCAGCAGATGCTTCAGTAAATCATATGTAGAAATGTTCATGGTTGAAAGCTTTTTGCTGGTCGCTCAAAATAGCGGTAGCTCAGCTTAGAAAAGACGAACGCCAAAGGTTACATTGTTATGTTACCAAACGATTGAATTGTGGAGAATTTAACTGATCTAACGATGCGTAGCATGTCCGATATTGATCATAAGTTTCAACATTAATATTTGTATCAACGAAATAAGCAGCTTAGAACTAGTTCTTAACTTCTGTATAAACCAGACGAGCCCACAGATTGAGACCTGCATTTATTTATCTAAACACGGACAGGTTTAGCCGTACACAGATAAAATGTAGATGACTTTCCTGTGTACGTTTGCACATACCGCTTACTGACGTGGTACAGTTGGGAGGAATAAAGATTAGGGAGATGGATGCATTTACGACTTTCCAACAGCTGGTTAGAATGCAGTTGAGAAATCAGGTTTCGATCCATCTTGAATGCTTCTTGGATGCAGTTTTTTACACATTACACATTAAATGACTCAGGCATTAAAGTTCATCTGGAATTTAACACTTGTGCAAAGTGTAAACTTCAACTGTGACTTTCATCTTTATGCAAATGTTATCATGAACTTCTCTCAATGCTGCACTTTTATACCATTTCAGCCAGGAAGAACAACCCAACTCCAGCCCCTCTCTTGGTTCACTTCATAATTTGTCAGAAAAGAAGAATGTTATCTTTCAGATTCTCTTTAGGGATTTTGTTGAATTTGTTTTCTGTTTTCTTTCACCGATTTTACTTTTGCAGAAAGTGCTCAAACAACCAGCTGAAACTAGACTTAAAAAAACTAGATCATATTCTAGCTGACCTGAACTGGTGTTTTGTGAAAGACTCACCGCTCGGTCCAAGTCCCGCAACATCGTCTGGAGAAGGATTTGTGGGAAGATGAGCAGGATGGAGGAGGCTTTGATCCATTTATAAACCTCGCCCGGAACAAAACATTCAGGTTCCCTCTCACCTGCTGAGCCCACAGACAAAAGCTAAGGATGGGAGGAGCGCTGTCCTCATTGTCCTGCTGAAGAACCATGAAGCAGACAAAATATATTCAGGTCAGAAAGAAAAGACGTTTCTCTGTTTATCTCTCCATCGTTCTCAACTCCTTTTCCCCACATTTCTCTCTCATTAATCTCACCTTTCACATCTTTTCTTTATTCATACAATAACAATATATAACAAGCACTTTGACTTTATTTTTACCCTGGTGCTTAACACAGGTCACGGACATACACTGATTAGCAACTGGCTTAGAATTTCCTCCAGGATGGGGATAAAGTTGAAAACGCTTCTGTAAATCCACTAATCATGACCTTGCGTCATGTTAAACGCTATTTCAGTCATTCGGTGCCAAAACTGAAAAGTGAGAAAGGAACCAAATAAGTAACACAGAATTTAAAGTCTTTATTTAAATAATAAATAAGTACAGAATGAATTCAGACAGCTTTAGTCTGTTTGACCAGTCTCACGAACACAAATAGTTGGCGGTCGAGCAGAAATGGTCGTAGCATCGTTTGTGTAACCTGTCAATTATTATCAAACTTATCAAAGTGCAACACAGAAGACAAAATTGTTTCTGCAAAATAACTTTTACAGTAACATACCTGCAACTACTCTGTTAGCACTCACATCGGCCCTCAGATACAATCCTAAAACAGTTTTATACTCAATTTTATTTTTAAATGAATTAAAATAATAAGCAGGAATATTGAAGGCATACAGGTGTCTCCACCACACCTGTAAAACGGTCCATTTTCAAGACAAGTCAACACGTTTCAAGACTTTGAATATTTAAATATTAAATATGTTAAATATGTAGCCTATAATTTTGACTTAACACAGCTGTGTCGTGCACAGAAGCCGTCGCCATGGTTAATAGAGCCAGTCCCAATTCTGATATTTCTGTACTTTCTATAAAGCCCTGGATGAATGCAGTTTTATTGCTGAAGTGAAGGATTTGGCTACTCGCTTCCCAACTCATCACATCCATCTCTCCGCCTTCCTTTCCCTCTTACTCTTTTCTTCTGCTGCTTCTGTCTTTTCTTTGTCACTTTTGGTGTTGATGTGCGATTAGACGCTCAGACTGTAAACAGATCTCCCTCAGAAGACTCACTGCTGGTGAAACCACACAGTCGATATATAACTCTTTATCAGTTTAATTCTAATTTATGGAAGAGGAAGAAATAGTTCCAGGAAGTAACCAGCTTCTCCAGTGTAAGGATTTTCTGCTTTTATCTGTTTGTGTCAACTAATATCTTTGGGTTGAGAACTGTTGATCAGACAATCGTCACCTGGGGAAACTGGACAGAAGTCGTTCACAGTTTTTGTGATATTTTATAAACTAAATGATTAATATTTTAATTTAGAAAATAATTGTCAGACTAATGGATAATCATAAAAAACATCAAAACACCAAACATCATAAAAATCTCGTCTTCGAAGCTTTTTTTTTGGGAAGTGAAGGGAACAAACGGGACATCGGTCCGCCGTACACAAAGCAGCATACTTGGGAAGACCGCGCCCTCCCTCTGTCCCTTCCCAAAACACTGTTATCATCCCAGAATCACCTCATCATCTGTGGAACCGGAGACGGCCCCTTTATGTCCCCGGGCCATCTTTTATTCTGAACAATCTAAACAAAACCGGGCCAGGGGGCCGAGGCACAAAAGGAGACAGGGAGATGAATAGTTAACCTTAAAAAATGTCCTGGTTTCCACAGCCAGCGGGGATCAGCGACACCCCGCAGGGTCAGCCTGGATTTCACACCTGTGCCAGCTCACAGAAAACAACAAGCATTCCCGTTTGAAGGGTTTCACTGTTCACCTGTGGCATCTGTGTTACCGGAGGGAGAGCGGTCATGCTTGCAGAGGGTCATGTGACCGCTGTGGTGGATATGGTAAAACCTCAGGTATGTTGATGCGTTCACGGCTGAACATTAAGAGGTAAACAACAAAACATTACATGTATTTGATATAGATGATTTCACAGCTCATTGTTCACGTCAAGAGCCAATGTTCAGTGCCAATGCAGGACAAAGTGCGTCCTTGTGATGAGGCGGAATTTTTGCATTTTTTATTAACCGTAACCAAATTCTTTCCCCAACAGTAACCAATAGTTTTAGTTGCCTAACCCAACCCACACTGTACCTTCACCTTAATCTTTGTCGGCATGCACAGATATTGTGGAAAGCTAGAATTTTTAAACCAGATTTGTTAAAGAATCTTCCGTTTGACCTCAGATTCTCTCCATAGGTATGGAGGTGGATGGATAGATAGAAAAACTGCTTGATGCCCAAGAAATCATAAAGTATCATAAATAAAAGTTCAGTTAGCTTGTCCCTGGTGGTTCACTTAAACCAATCTGATTTCGCCACAACCTTTTGTTAGGCAGTGATCTTGTTGCTGCCAGAATTTAAAACCGTTCCTCTGGGTTTTAGTTTCCACCTGACACAGTCCCACCAGCTCCAGTGTTTATCAGAGCCTGCCCTACAGTGGGTCACAAGTTTGAATCCATCCAATGACCTCCTATTATTCATATCATAGCATTATCAGACATAGATGTCTTTTTAGCTTCTTCTATATTTACACCGTGTTAAAATGTGGCATTTGTTATATGTCTTTATCTGACTCTTCTATCAGTTAGTTTCTCTTGATTTGAATAAATTCAGGTGATTTTCCTAAAATCCTCCACTTCCATTTCTGACTTCCAACAGAGAATTTTAGTTTTTCCCTTCTGATTTGTGCTTAAATCTCTCATGACATGAATTGGATCCAACAGGTAAAATCAAAATTCTGACCTGTTTCTTTCTCTTCAAATGAAGCGTCAGTGATTGTTGGTCCGTCATTGTGGACACATAAATATTTTGACACAGCACGTAACGGGGGCTTGTTTGCCCGTTTGGGACCGTTAAACTGGTCCCCACAAGGCAAACCCTTTCATTTAGACTTGGATTTAATTAGGGTTATAGTCAGGTGAAGTCTGCAGGGAATGCAACATCCTACATTTACATTTTATTCATTTAGCTGACGCTTTTATCCAAAGCGACTTTCAGTTGCTGTATATGTCAGAGGTCGCACGCCTCTGGAGCAACGAGGGGTTAACTGTCTTGCTCAGGGACACATTGGTGGATGTGTCACAGTGGAGTCTCTCACACCAAAAACATGTGTCTTATCCACTGTTCCATCACCACCCCGATCTTAAGTAATTTGATGCCTCAGTCTTTGTACTGTGTGTGTTATGTAATTTATATTGAAAAACAAGATTTATCAAGGTCTTTATCGGCCTTTTCTCCTAACAATGTTAACTTTTCTGTTTCTGTTACAGGTTTTTTTTTTCACACTTCTGACAGGGCGTCGGCTGTTGCCTCAGATTGTATCTGCAGCTCGGACACTTTCAGCACGTAGATCCTGTGTTCCTTTAAGAACTTTTACCAGTTCATATGAATGTGTTTCAAATGTAACTAATGTGCATAAGTTACATTCAGTGCGTCTCATTCTGGTGGTCAGTATTTTCATCATTTAAAAACCTCTTTTTTAAACCATGTCATCTTTTCAGATTTTTTGGCCCGATTTTTTTGCCGTGGGAATTTGATCAAAAGAAACGAAACACAATAATAATCAGATTTTCTTAATTTTAACCCGTTAGTCATCCAGGTCATAGTTATCCAAAGGAACAATAAAATCAAGAGCATCTGTACTTTGTTGAAGATACTCAAAGACGTTTTGCCTCTCATCACTTCCGTCCGACTGACAGGGAGTCCCACCTATCTAACGTCTGTGGGGTCGTTACCAAGGCGATGGATCCACCCTGGTTCGTTAAAGCTCCTGGCTGTTGGAAGTCTAAATGACCATCGTTGGCATCTTAACATGATTTCAAATGATCATCAATCATGGTAAGGTAAATCAAATAGGCCCAACCTTAATGGAAAAATCATACGTTATCTCAAGCAAACAAGTGCATATATTATTTTTGGGAATGATCCAGATATGGCTACATTTGGCGAGAATGTGACACAACTTTTAGGATGAGTAATAAAACATGAACTACAGTGGGCAGGATGCTGAAGCTAATAAAAACAAAGCCCTTTTCTTAATGTGTTCCCCTCATAGAGGAATGTCAACCTATTTTTGTCCAGTTACAGTCATGGCCAAAAATATTAGCACCCCCGCATGTCTGTCACATGATGCATTACTTCACCCAGACAGTTGTCACAACTACAAAAGGTTTGGTATTTTCATGTTTATTCATTTTGTTTGCGTTAGAACAACTAAAAATGATGTGAGACATTCTACACAAAATGGACTGGACAAAATAATGGGAACCTTTTGAAAATCTTCAGAAATAATAGTATTCAAAGCATGTAATGCTCCTTTAATTTGTAATTAAACTCACCTGTAGAAATTCACAGGTGCTGGCCATTTAGAAATCCCACTAAAATGTGAAGCATGGAGCATGGACAAAAGCAAGCATGGACAGTATCAAGGCTACAAATCTTGGACCTAACGCTAATCTCCCTGAACGTGGACGAAAGATAAAAAGTCCAACAAATTATTATTCGAATAGTGGGTAAAGAACTTACGATCAAACTTCCAAACAAATTCAGGCTGATAAAATATAAATACAGGGTCATCTTGCACTACCCTTCCATCTGTAGGAGACCCAGGAGGAGCCGCTGCTGACCCAGAAACATAAAAAAGCCAGATTGGAGTTTGCCAAAACTTACCTGAGGAAGCCAAAATCTATCGGGGGAAATGTCCTGTGGACAGATGAGAATAAAATAGAGCTTTCTGGTAAATCATTCTTCTGTTTTCAGAAAATGAAAGAGGGCTTTAAAGAAAAGAAAGTGGTCCATAAAGTCAAACATGGTGGAGATTCACTAATGTTTTGGGTGCTTTGCTGCTTCAGGCACTGGACGTCTTGATTATGTGCATGGCTTTAAGAAATCTGGGGTGCAATGTAGGGCCCAGTGTCAGAAAGCTGGGTCTCCATCAGACATCATGGGTCTTACAGCAGGACAGTGACCCAAAGCAGACTTCAAACAGCACCCAAAAATGGTTTAAGACAAAGCACTGGAGAGTTCTGAAGTGACCAGCATTCAGTCCAGATCTAAATCCCATTTAGCTCCTGTGAAAGACCTCAAAACAGGAGATGGGCGAAGGAACGCATCAAATCTCAAACACCTGGAACAGCTGGCAAAAGAAGAGTGGTCCAAAATTAGAGAGTTGTAAAGGAAGAGATTGATTTCAGTTATTTTTTCCACAGGTTGTGCTCCCAAATATTAAGTTTGGGGGGGGGGAGCAATAATTTTGTTCAGTCCATTTTTGGAGTTCTGTGTGGATTGTCTCCGACTTGACTCTTTCGTGTTGTTCTGTTGCAAATAAAAGAAATAAACATGAAAATACCAAACCATTTGTAATGGTTGTCTCCTGTGTGCGCTGCTTCTGAAGATGCAGCGATGGAGGTCGTAGTCGCTGTGGACTGAAGGGACGGACAGACGGAGTCAGGAATAACTTGTTGGGCTGTCGCTAAACAGGGCTCTGATCGGCTGCAGAGGTGAGTGGGTGGAGGTTAAAGGGGAGGTCTGTGTGTGTGTGTTGACAGTGTTGGCAGACAGTGTCCAGCTGCAGACTGTGGACTCTCAGTAAACACTGACAGTTAGTCATTAACACAGCAGAAACAGAGCAAACCATCGTCTGTGTCCACAGCTTCGACTCTTCACACGTAAGTACAAAAACAAACCGCAGTCCCTGAAATCCACTCTTGTATCTTGGTTTCATGATGTCGTGACAGGTTTTAGGACGTGGTCTCGGCTGCACTCTGCGCTCCCTGTTGATCAGGTCCTGGGGTCAAAGGTTCAAACGGGGATCAATCGGGTTGAAATGTTTCACTGAAGCTGCTGACTGATTATTTTAAACAATAAGAAAAGTAGACGCATGATGTTGCGACACCGAGACGTTAACATTTTTTACATTTTACTAATTTGTACTCATTTGGCAGACGCTTTTATCCAAAGCCTCCATACCATCATTTAGATTTTGACCATGTCTGTATCACTGCTTTACTGTGGACGGTGGGTAAATATAAACACTGAGGAGATGAGATGATTGGCTCATGTCTGTCTCGTCTCATTGGCCGCAGGTTTAACTGGCATCATGTCCCGCCTCGTCCTCTGCGCGTCCGTCATCGTCACTCTGTGGTCGGCGTCAGTGCTCAGTCTGTCAGGTGAGTGAGCGTGGATGTGCTCCAGACACAACATCACTTTAATAAACAGGGTTCCACCATTAAAACATTAAGACTTTAGATGTGTGTAAATCTGTTGGTAGGAAACATCTGCAGCGCTGTGCCAAAAATTTCAGAGGCACAAAATAGAAATGTTTTGTAACCCTAACCCGCCTGCTTACATGGTCTGCAGTATTCATACAGTTTGTAATGATTGTGCTAAGCTAACTCATGTTATTTACTCATTTAGTCAGATGTTATTGGCACAACGTTTGCTAATTTTGAGGTGTGTTTAAAATCTTCCAGATTAATGACGTCATTAAACAGCTTTTTATCAAGTTACAGTTTACTCAAAGCAAAAATGATTATTTGGAACAGTTGGAGGAAGATACAAAAAAAAAAACTAGATTATCTGTCCCTACACAGAGATTATGAAGAGATATCAAGCAGCAGAGGCAGCTACTCACCGAGTACAGACTCAGTGACCTTTGCGATTGAAAAAGAGAGACATAAAGAATCTGTGTTTGCTGTGCGACAGGTGAGGTCGAGACTAATCTTCTAAATATAAATATAAATATTATACTGAAGCATAAGAGAGCAATATTTTGAGATAAATAAAATACAAAATAAAGTAAATAAAAATAAATTTCATTTATTAATAGAGGATTTCAAAGATGCATTCAGTGTTTGCTGCACGGCAGGTTACATCTTGTTCATTCCTGGTGGTAGTTTATGTTCTATCTGTATTTACTATTTTATTTTTGAACTTATCTGGCAACCAAATCCATTCCAATAATCGTTTTGTTGAATTTCTCTTTTTCATATTACAGCTGCACAGCAAACTGAGGCTACAGTAACATTTCATTAAAGACAAACTGTTTCCAGCTGTTGGGGACTTCTACTGCACATATAAAGTGTTTAGTGTTTCATAGGGAGCTGCGTGAAGTCTGATAAATGTCCTCGAGTGATGTCACTTGAGTCAGCGTGGGCGTGAGGCTACGAGTTTGAAACTGAAACCAGTGTGGGGTTAGAAAGAAGTGAGCTCACCAGACCTCTGTAGCCGCTACCAGCATAACACACCTCCCTCTCTCTCACCCAGCTGCTGGAGGTGTGTGTGGAGGAATGTTGCATTATGGGTAATGTAGGTACCAGGTTTTGAAAAGGAACAAGATGTGGAATAAAAGAGACACAATATCTGTGGTTCTGCTGCATCGATTTTTATCCTTTTTCTTTTACATTATCAATCGGGAGCAACGTCATAGAAAATATCACCACATTCTCCATTTAGCAGATGTTCTGCAGATTTAGGGGAAGAATAGTAAAATTGTAAAAATGTCCTTTTTTTCTGAACACATTAAGGACTTCTCATCTATGTTTTCTTCAGTTCATTCTCGATTTTGGAAACAGTCAACAGAACAATTTCTCCACAAACTTTTAAGCCAATATGGAAAGTCCTTAAACGGCTCAGAGAAAAATGTAATATCTACAAATCAATGACAACTAGTCAAAATCCACACTGCAAATAAAAAGTTAGTGTAAAGCCATTTGTGGCTCCAGAAGTGCAATTGAAGATGTTGTAGAAATGCAACCAGCATCTTTGGCTTTCTCTGATGGTTTCCTACAGTATTTTGTGTCCAGCACATTATAAAAATACGTACTGTGTTGAGGAGGGTCAGAGTGGATCTGCACGCACTAAATACTTATAGGTAATAGGTTGATTTTCATTTAAGTTTAAACGAAATTAAACCCATAGCTGTGTGGCTGGTGGTCACATGATCAGCAGCAGAGGATAAAAGAAGTCATCAGGTTTTTCAAAAGCAGTAAGACCAAGATGGATTTCCTTCATTTATAAACGAAAGTTGTATTGAACTTATAAATATAATTGACAGTCCCCGCTACGTAGTAATGGATCATAAATTCAGTCTACAACTTGTAACCTGCATGAGAGTGCACATGTTGTCACACTCTGCTATGACTAACTGATATTTTTATTGACATTGGATTTAATACTTTATTGATCTGATAACACAAGCTGCAAATAAAGAAGAAAAACACATCAAACCGTACTGACAGAGAGTCACAAAGATTAAGGACTGCAATATTCCCTAAAGACTGAAAGTAAAAACATTGCAAGTTCATATCCAGGTGTATTAAATTAAAATTATAAATAAGCCAGCAGCACACTGTTAAAGCCTCACGGGCTTTAACACAAAGTGTTACTCATCTCATCTGTTTGTCTTTGCTTCTGTTGCTTCAGTGTTCTCGGACGCTCCGGAGGCTCACATGCTGCTCCGCTCTCGTCGGGCGAACTCCTTCCTGGAGGAGCTGAAACCTGCTTCAATGGAGCGCGAATGTGTGGAAGAGAAATGTGACTTTGAAGAAGCTCGAGAGATTTTCCAAACCAGGGAAGCTACAGTAAGACGCCTCCTGTTCATGTGTAAATGTGTTTCAGCTGCTTGAGCTCTGAAACATTTCATACCCATGATGTTACATCACTGCTGACCTCATCACACAGGTTTTACACTTTTACACTTTTCACCAGGTCTGTGCGTTCAAAGACGCAGCAACACGGTAGAATTAGCTGCTGCACTGATAATATGTGTCGTCAGAACAGCAAACAAGAAGACAAACAACAAGCAAACATGGACGTTGTGAAAAGATCTTTTTCAGGGTGATTTGGAAAATGATCAGCAGTGATGTGAAATATCTGATCCTGGAACGTCCTGTTGGCCCCAGGGTTTCAGGCGCTCACCACGAGGTTATATCTGAATAATAATAACCCCAAACCTGAAAAATTACTGCGCTCAACCAGCCAATATTCACGTCCACTTCTCTGAATATGTTCAGGCAGCGTTTACCTGATATCAGCAGCCATTCCTACTGTTCTTCTTCTCACATAACTTCACATGTGCTACATTAATCAGTGTTAAAGTCTTTGTTAAAAGGTGAAAACATTAAACTGAAACTCTTTAGAGTGATATTTGTCAGCTGTTCAGAGTGCTAGTTTCATCACTGACTTTTTGTTTTGTGTTCACAGCTGGAGTTCTGGACAGTGTACACAGGTAAGATGAGTTTGAACCATCCTGAACCCAACAGGTGTGATGTACTGTACATCAGAAAGTGTAAAACTAGTAGGGTTGGGTATCATCATCAGCACTCGGTGACCTTCCTCCTCTTCCTCCTCGCTCGTCTTGCCCCTTCATGGCTAAAGTGAAAGGAGTCTCTGCACTAGAGGGGCGTCTCTGGGGACTCGCCTCTTCTGTAGCCATCGTCGGTTTCCCTTCAGTATAAAAGGTGAACGTCAGCTCACCTGTGTTTTGTACCTGAGCCGTTGCTACAGTTAGCGTTAGCGTCACTGTAGTTGGAGAGCGCGACACGTTGAACACGGTGAAGCGTTCCTTCAGATTCACGCCGCGTTGAAGGAAACGCTTCGTCATGTTGGAGCTGCTTCTTCCCTCGCACCAAACCTCCTGACTGCTGCTGGTGCATTTTGCTGTGGCGTTCTCTTTTCTTAGTGAAGCTAAGCCAAAGTTTGGAGCGTTTGCTGCGATCCGCCACTGGTCTTAATGAATACACTTGGTTCTTGGATACCCAACCCTAAAAACACTTTCTACTGTCCTGGTTTTGAGCATAAAAACATGAATGGAAACAGCTGAAATTTTCTAAAAGGCCAAAATAGATCTTCCTAATAATGATGATGATGTTGGACATACGTCATCTTCATCTTCATACACTCACCTGTTTGACAAACTAAAGTGACATGAACGCCTTTTCCCGCTCGGCTGCTCGCAATTATGGTTTAAAAGAGAACGCTAATCAAACTGAACTGGTTCCTTTGTGTGGACAGAGCAGCGCCTACAGAGCATTGTGGGAAATGTATTCATGGTGCATGTGTTTCAGATGGGAACCAGTGTCACTCCAACATGTGTGTTCACGGGGCCTGTGTGGATCAGTATCAAGACTACGCCTGCCGCTGTCACCGTGGATATGAGGGCAAATACTGCGACCAACGTGAGTCTGGATAAAAAAAACTACACTGACGTACGAGATAATACATGTTCCTCATCACAGCGTACAAACCCCACAGTGCTGAACCTGGTGACCCAAAAACATTTTACAACGTACCTCTTGTGCTGTACACACATACAAATAGAGGTAGTTTTTATGTACAACAACTTTAGATTTTAGTTTTAGTTTTTAGTTGGGTGCCAGCCAAAGTTAA